TATTCCAAGGTGCTTTTGGCAGTTATCACAAGAAAAGGCTCTGCTGGATGATCATTGCATCTGATGGGGCATATCAGCTCTTCTTTGGTGCCCCATCAACAGCCAAAAGGGCTTTTCCATGGGCTGTTGTAACTAAGGGTTGTGTGAGAACGTTCTGACAAAAGATCTTTACAGTTTGAATGAAATATCGTGGTTTGAAATGAGTCCTGATGGACAGCATTGGACTTGGAGTGAGGGCAGAGCTTTGAATGCCCAAGTTACCAGCTTTCTCTTGTTGCTGCTGGGTGTCTGGAAGAGGAGAAGAGCTGGAGCTGCAATTCTGCAAGACGTGTTTTATTCTTTGATTTTCAGTACACGGAAATGAGATGAAACTCATTCCCTCAGCAATTGCTTTGACTACAGACTCAGGGAAGTGCAGTTTCTGGTACAGAAGTGCAGACAGTGGGATGGGCCCTCAGTCTTCATGCCAGAGCAGGGTTCTTTAGCTCAGGGGAAACCGACTAGCAGCAGCTGTGTGTTGCTGAAAACTTGCCCCATGGTATCACTGGGGGTCCCTGCAGGAGGCAGGGAGGAAGGGATAGGGAGGTGTGTCAAGGCTGGTGGTTTAGACCAACACAGGACCTCTATCCCCATGCATCCAAAATGTGTCGGAGAGATTCTCCAGAAACTGCTTTTTCCCACGGGCAGTGTGATTGAGGGTCAAAACAGGAAGAAAAAAATCCATCTTTTTCAAGGGCTGTGGTCTTGCACAGTCATGGGATCTTGAGTGTTTGGCTCCTGGAGACATTAAATTATGGCACACACACCACTGTCAGTCCCAAATCAAAGTTGATTCTAGACCTCTGTCTAGAAGGGACGTCTTGGAAACATCATCTAGATTGACCACAGATTGTCACAAGGAGAAGAAAATGTTTAATGGCTTAGAGGCTGCTTTAATCTTCTGATTTTTCCCTCTGTCTCGTGGATTTGGGGCTTCTGGTTCCTGGCCCTGCAGTGACTGAGCACTGGGGGTTCCAGGTCATAATCATTGTCCCTTTGGTTTTCTGTTGTACAAGCACTATCACAGTTTGTGCTGGCCTCTGGGCCACAGGTCAGAGAGAGATTTTAAATCCAAATTTCAGTATGTGCTTGCGCTGTCAGGACTTTGGGTCTCTTCAGCCTGCTGTCTAGCTGGTAAAGCCCAGTGGCAGCTCAGCAGAGCTCAGTGCTGCAGTCAGTCCACATTGCTCTGTGAACCTTAGCCAAGCTGTACTGGCTCTGCCAGCCACCCACCTCTGTCTCATTCCCACCATGTCTTGTAATGCAAGAAAACAGCCTTGCACGGCAACACGTACCTCTGAAAAAGAGGACTGCAGGCAGCAGGCTGATACAGCCACACCCTGAACGCAGCAGGAGCACAGGGCTAGGTGAGGGCACTGGGAACACAGGCTGAATTCCACAGACTCACAGACAGCCCCATGGTAGCTTGTTCCTGCTCACATCCTCACAGCCACCTCTCTACAGCAGATCTCTGCCTGGCAGAGGAGTGAGAAGCAGAGACCATATTGAAGGGTCCAGGAAGAGCAGGGTGACAGGAGTGCACAGCCTAGATTACTGTAGAAAGCAGTCCTTGCTTTGAGGCAGGATAAATCGTGCGGTTGCCTGATCCTCCTCCTCCTCCACTGATCAAACACTGCCACATGGCCACATGCGTGCAGGACCCTGCAGAGGGGCTTTGTAGCAGGCAAAAGGCAGCATGATGCAGATCAGGCATGCTCTAAGAATAGCCTGTGTTATTTTCATATACTTGCTGTTTCTCAAACACCATTAGGAGGTAATCCTTTTCTCCGGGATTGCAGTCTCATCCCAGGGACAGGGACAAATTTGCCTCAGCAATTCTTGCTGATTGGAGATTCATACAGAGAGCGGACTTGGCATTTGTTCTCCCTACCCTTTTTCCTAACAGCCTTCTACAGCAGAAACAGCAGCAGTGCTCATCTACCTAACAAGGAGCACTTGTTCACGCCCTAGAATGATCACTTGGAAAACTGCATAATAACACCACCTCCTGGCAGTGGCACTTTATGCCCCATTATTCTGCATTATTCAAAGAAGTCCTATTGGTGTTGGGTCTAAATATCAGAACAATCCTTCTTAACTGGCACCCAGGTTTCTTTTCGTGAGAGAGAGAATTATTTTGTGAAGCTTTGAGGAATGGCACACACAGCAAGCCAGAGCACACCCACAGGCAGTTTACATCTTGATACCTCTGCTGTCCTCAGAATTCAAGAAGGCATCCCTTTTAATTAACTTCCCTGAATAAAGTTATTTTTTCATACATGAGGGCAGGATGAAGTGTACATTTTAATAGGAGTTGTCAGGGAAATTATTGATTTTGTTAGTAATGTTTCTGAAATTGTGCCATTCCGATAATTCTGCCAGATTCTCCTTGAAAGCTTAGCTGAGAGCATTTTTATATCCTTCATTAGTTTTTTAATACACGATAATTTCCCCTAACTCATCAGCACAGAGTAAGATCAGCTGCGTGCTTGGTAACCATTTTTCCTATGTACAAACCTATTGCAGCAATAATTACAAACTGGACAAATTATTACAGATATTCATTATAAAATACAATTACACTGAGCAGTGCTGCATTGTTACACTTCTCACAGCCATCACTTGCTCTTGAGTAAATGGTTTCATTATGAGCATGAAGGGCAAACTTAATACACTCCTGACTCACAGCAAACAGCACAAGAAATCATCCTGGCTGTTCCTCCGAGTGCTTGCAGTGTTTACCCTGAATGAGTAGAAAATGTTGACTCTGGTGCCAAATACTTGTCAGCTTAACAGAGGGACTCTGGGTGGCCAGTGCAGATGTGCAAGGAGGGGAGAAAGCCAGAAATTACAGCAGCGTGGCCTGAATTTCACTCCCCTAGAGCGTGGCTTTCTTCCATGTTTATGGGTTTTCAGTGCTGGGACCCGCCAGTAACCTCCTTGATCATATATTAGAGCAGCCTTGGGGCTGCTTCGGTTTGTGCTGGCTGCTCGTGGAAAGTGCTGAGGAGCCAGGGATGGGACAAGAAACATTTCTTCGAAGGACAAGACAGACAAGGTTGGGCAGGGAGAGAGTAACTGGGAAGCTTCTTTAAGAGCATTCACAGGAGAGCAATGCTGTCAAGTGTTGGGGGAAAGCAAACCCAGTCAGAAGGTTGGCAGCAAGCACAGGGCTACAGTCAGTCACTGCACTGGCTTTTTAGTGTTGTTATTTCTTGTCTGGGACAAGGTCAGAGCCAGGAGGAGGTCCTGTCCCATCAGCAATGCCATGAGTGCATGACAGTGAGCAGAGCGTTCCAGGGCGGAGCAGAGGCTGTTGGATTTCTGTCTCGTATGTTGTCTTTGCAAGGACTTTGCACTGTAGGAAGGATCACAATAGCACAGCGCCCCCCACACCACACCCCTTGTACCCCAGGTTTGGGCACCTTCTGGCAAGCAGCTTTCAGCTGGATGTTTCTGGAATGCTTATGTAAGTCCCTGAAAAGAGCTGAAGAACTTCTTCTGTGCTAATTTTTTTTACCCTTGGTAAAGCAATTTTCACTGTACTGGGTGCTCAAGGAGCAAACCTCTCTGTGGGTGGCCACAGCCTCCTGCAAGGCTTTCATCTTCTGTGGTGTGTGCTTGTGGCTGTGCTCTAGGCAAGGACTGTCCTTTGGACCTGTCCTGATGATGCTGCAGGGGCAAATTCAGCAACTCTGGGTCATAGGAGAGAGAATTGCTGCTCAACTCTCGAACGGGAGAAAATTAAACCTTGAAGGCTTGGGAAAGGATGTGCTGCTTGTGAAGCAAAATTTTAAAAGTAAAATCTCACCATCAGAGAAGCTTTTCATCACCCTGCTCTAACCAGAAAGACCATTTTTCCTTTACATTCTCTTCACAGAAAAAGTGGTACTCCAACATCTCTTTCAAGCTTGTAAATTAGAGCCTCCAAAGTCCAAACTGAGCAACTGAACATGATGTTGTGCATGGATCTGCTGTGCCTGGTGAGACAGAGTCTCTTCCATGCACAAGCTTGAGTAGTGCATCATGCTTTCAGGGGCTTGGTCTGTGCTTGTTCCTAGTTCTCATGCCCATGCAATGTGTGCAAGCTATCAAGGGGCTGTCCTATACCCTAGGTTTTTGGAAAGGGACGTGTCATGCTGCCCCCATGCCAAGGCACTTCTCTGGGAAGTTGGCCCAGCTGTGTTGGCCTATGGCCCTGCCAGGGGGGATGGCACCCTGCAAGATGCTGGTGCTCTGACCCTGTGGTCTGTGCGCATCCTGAGGCAAGCTTGGCCCATTGGCTCCTGCCTTTGCTTTTGGCTGTGCTGTCCCTCCAGCCTGTGCTACCAAAACCACTGTTTTCTGTTTGCAGCCCCCTTCTCCTGCTGTTTCCATCCCCCTCTTCCTCCTCTTCTACCTTTTCTTTCTCTTCCTCCCCTTCTACCTTTTCTTCCTCTTCCTCTCCCTGTTTCCCCTCCTCCCTTTTCCCCCTTACTCTTGAATCTCTATTTCTTCTTCTCTGTTGCAGCAAAACGATATCAATCAAGGTGATAGATGATGAGGAGTATGAGAAAAACAAGACCTTCTACCTAGAGATCGGGGAGCCCCGGCTGGTGGAGATGAGTGAGAAGAAAGGTGGGGGACGTGCTCCGGGGCTGAGCCCAGCCTGTGTGTCCCTGTCTGGCTCACTCATGTCTGGCACCTGCAACACCGAGCTCACATCCCCAGAGCCTATGGAAAAGGGCAGGAGCAAGACCACTTCCCATTCCCTCTGAACGCAGCCTTTCCCCAGCTCACCAAGGTACAACCTTGGCCAGGTGGTGGGGGTGCTCCTGCCCTTCCCCATATGCCCCAGGAGGGATGTGCAGCCGCTTTCCCCCACCCAACCATCTCTGTCACCACAGCACCCGGGTGGACATGAACTGCATGTGTGTGTGCAATGCCAATCATCTGTTTGCCTTTGTCTTGTGTTCCCACAGGAAATTCATTACCCTTAGAGTACTTGACCGTGAGGAGTATGAGAAAGAGTGCAGTTTCTTCCTTGTGCTTGGGGAACCGGTGTGGCTACGACGAGGAGTGAAAGGTGTGAGAGTAAAACCAGACCAGCTCTTGAGACGCTGCCGTCCGCTTTCTCTGTGTCTTCCTACTCTCACACTCCTTTCTCCTCGCACTTTGGCTCCTGGCCATTTTTGCCCTCCCTCCTTCGAATCTTGGCCGCTGCACCTTTTTGCTCTGTTTTCTTTCCTCTGTCATTTTGAGAGGATTCTGCCTCACTCACCAGGGCCCCCAGGGAGCAAGGCGTCCTCCCAGGATGGCCCCGGGGCACCTGGGCAGGGGACAACGAGCATCGACAGCCCCCAGAGATGTTTTGAGAGTGACTGCCCTGCCACATTGCAGCTACACCTTCATTTAATCACGTAGAACGTTCAGTCTTGACAAGTAAAAAGGCAACGCTGCATCATTTTTATCAGAAGATAAAACAGCTTTCGCTTGAAATAAAATGCATGGCCAGAGTAGTAATTTTAGCCTTTTTATGCTGGCACTAGCATCTGAAAATAGCTGAAAATCACAGCACAAGCAGGTAGTACCATGAGATGCAATCAGTTTAGGTAAATCAGGTTATACTCAAATGAAGTTTCATGGCTCTGCATTGGATAATAGCTTCTCACAGGAATAATAAAAACAATTTCCTCTTTCATCACATTTCTGAACCAACTGCAAAACTTCCCAAAAAGGCAGAGTTCACCTATTTTCTCATGTGTTTTTTCTGCTAGAAAATAGGGTGAAAATTAATGGCAACAGCTAGTTCTGCACACTATTCATGGCTAAGCAAGAAGCAGTTTTAGAGTCACTTAAGATATGGACTATTATTAAAGCCTTTGTAGAAAATTGTCAGCCTCATTTGCTCTGTCTGCCTTGGAGCCGCTTTCTAGTTTCTGAGACATCATCATTCCCTTCAGCAGGCATGGGGCTGTAATATATTATTTGACCAGGACAGAGAGGGCCCCCAGTGGTCCCCACACTGAGAAGGGACTTGCCACGTTCCTCCTCAGCTCAGGGGCTGTCTAGGTCAGCTGCGTCATCCCCACCATCAGCTTTCCTGCTGGTTTATGTGACCAGCTGGGTCAAAGCAAAAGCTGGGCTAAAAAAATCAGACACACTGGCATGACTCAGGCACTGCAGGTGGAGTCTGTATCACTAAATGGTGCTGGTGGCATCTATGGAGCATAGAGAATGTTGCCAAGATAAATTCACACATGGACAGCTCAACTCAGCAGCTCCAGAGTTGCCCAGCTTCACAAGGGCTCAGCCTTGCAAGTCCAGCAAGGGCTAACATGCTTTCCAGGACCAAGTTTGAAAATTGTGGTACCAACTCTATAGATCCCAGCTGAAAGTGTTAGCTAAAAATAAAAGGAAAAGGAAATAAAGTTTCTTGTTTTCCTGTTCACACAGATAACTAAGGAAAACTGAGAGAAGCTGAGCTTTGCAAACTCACTAGCTGGAAGACAAGTCAGAATTTTAAGGGATGCTATTTGCTGCTTTGGCCATGCAATCTTTTTGCACTTGGTTTTGTACAAGAAGCAGCAATGCAAGGTGACAAGGGCCATCTGGAGACAAGGGCATCTCTGAAATGTCACCCCTGGGCCACAGAGCTTTGTTGGGGTCTGCATCTCAGGGGCACGAGACCAACCGGGGCACTAAGCAAGAGGCTTTTTCTTTTTGGAGACCTAAAACGTTGAGCAACGAGATCTTTGAGCCAAGCCTTGCCACAGACTTTTCTTCCCTCATTTCATGTGACAAAAGTACAATTGTGTGCTGGAGCTGTTGCTCCCCATTAGGCAGCTGGAGGAGGTCAAAGCCAGTAGCTGCTGCACATGGGACGTCTTGTGTCCTCCCTTGGGGCAGAACCCCTCCGAGACCAATGGAAGATCTTGCACATAAAATTCAAAGGGGGAAAATTAATTTTTGGAGTATGTCCTTTAATCCCACGTCCACCCCATGTTTGCAATGGTTTTTATTTTAAATCCACAATCCCATGAAACTTTCTGTTCCTTTATTTTTAGTACCTTTGTCTTAACACTAATGGTATCCTGCAGCTTTACAGATCTGAAATCTCTGCCCTGGGATCTGGTGTCTTTCTGTGGATATCCCTTTTGATTTCATTATTCATTTACTTTTCTTCTTCTGTGTTTGTCTCTGTCTCCTTCACAGCCCTGTTGTTGAATGAGCTTGGTAAGCGCACATTCATTTTTCCTTTCCATTTTTCCAGTTTGCGTATTTTCAGAAGACAGTTGATTTTGCTTGAATTTTTTTCTTTGCTCTCAGCATTCTCTTTTAGGGTAATGAGCACTATTTAAGTGAACTCAGGTATCTAATGCCCCATTTCTCCTTAGAGTAGAGCCCCAAAGTCACCAATATTAACGAGTGGTAATCTGCAGTGGCAAGGAGCATTTTTTAGGGGTAGTTCAGTTACAGCCATAGTATACCTGCCAACATGCCATGATACAGGCTTGTGGCATCCAAATTAACCCACCCCACCCCCCTCTAACACTGGTGTGGCAGAAACAGGATTTCTTGGAGACTTAGGGATGTTTGTGGCTGGACAGGAAACTTGGCCAGTCCTTTTGGAAGAGACAGCGCAAACTTTGCCTCCTGTCTTGGGAAGATTTAGAGCCTACCCAGCCTTTGTGTTTCCTTGCTGGCCATTTCCAGGATAGGACAGCTGGGGAGGGAAGCAAAGCCATCCTCTTTCCCCAAAGCACCCATGGCACCAGGGCAGACTCACACTGGTTTTACCCCCTCCACAGCATATATTGGATACCAGGGGGTGGCAGATTGCAGATGTGGGTTGAAAAGCCTGTGTTCAGATCTCCTCACACTATCCCCAGGGGTTCATGTTGGGAAGCAGCCTCCATGCCCACAGTTCCTGGCCATGGAGCAGGGAAGGACCACCTTGTGGGCTGCAAGGTGTCCGTGTTGCTGTGCAAATGCTAATCCTCATTTATTATCTCTCTCTCTCTCTCTCTCTCGTTTTTGGTTTCATCTAGGTGGCTTCACCATCACAGGTATGGATTTCTACTCTTCCCCTGTCCCCCACTTCCCTTCTCGTAATGGCCATATGCTCACACCACTCTTTCCTCTTGGTTTCCTCTTTGCTTTTGTTCTGTCCTGGAGGGAAACTCTGGAATGGTAAGAAGGCGCTGAGCTGCGGCCCCACTGCCCCAGCCGGTCCCTCTAACACAGCGTCCTCTCACAGAGTGCTCTGCCTGCCACACACACCTAACTCCCACCTTGGGGGAGCAAGGTGGGCTTCTCCACTTGATCCAGTTGTCCCCTCCTTGCTGCCCACACCAGAGGTGTGCACAGGGCTCTGCCCTCCCCAGGCAGCTGCCAGGGTGCACAAGCACTGTGGGAAGGGCAGGACCCCATGGCTGTTTTAGCCCCTGCCCTTCCCACCAGCAAGACCCAGCAGCAGGGCTTGTTCCTCTGTTATTAGCCAGCCAAGCATCTGTCATTCAGCCAACCACTGCAGGACGAGAAGATCCTGGGTCCCACACATTGCAGAGCGGCCCCTCAGTAGCCCTCAAAACAATAATTCAGACTTAGGAGGCTTTGGCAGTGAGGTGGGTCCCTTTGACCAGCAGGAAGAGAAGGGCTTTCCTGCAACTCATTGCTGTCTGTGCAGATGAGGGGCAGCCAGCAAGGGAGCAACACTAACCCCGTGTGACATAGAACTAGTTTACTAACTGCACGGTGACAGTTTGCACAGGGTGTGCAGTCCCTCCTGCTGACGTCCTGCTGATCGCTTTGATAGGCAAACCCGTCTTCAGGAAGGTCCAGGCTAGAGATCATCCTCTTTCTTGCACCGTGGTCTCCATCCAAGGTACCTGTAGTGTGACACCTGAGGGTCACGTCAATCCCATGTGGACTGACTGGGGTGTTTGCCTCTGACAGTTTAACTCCAGTCCTTTTTAGCACTGACATTCTTCTGCTTATCCCTCGAGTGGACTGGAAGGGAGTTCAGTGGGGTCTGCACAAGGGACAGTGACGAAGGCCATGAGCTTCAGTCCCCATGCCCCAGAGGTTGCATGGATGCCAGTGGAGGTGCAGACCTGCTTCACTGCTTGTGTAGTCCCTCTGCTGCCTGCTCTCTCAGGGTTTGGGGCCAGGCACTGGCCTCTGGATGACTCCTCACACTTGTATGGCCCAGTACTATTTCCACCAGCCCCACCATCACAGCAGGAGTTGACTGCCAGCTTCCTCTCTGAGGCAAACCCTGCTCAGAAGGAGGCAGAGACAAGATTTCATATGCATCTCAGCCCTGGGGCTGCTGGTAGCTCTCTCTTGTTGTAATAGGCTGATGGAATTGTCCTGACCATACCCCATTGCAGACCTGGAGTGCTGGGAAATGGAGCGGCCTTAGTGATAACCTTTCCGCTTCCCAGAATACCTGTGGAGAGACAGCAGGTACCAGGCAAAAAACTATTCCCCAGCACTAAGGATGAACGGGACTCCTTCTGAGTTCGGATGAGTTGCAGACCTCTTGCTAGCACTTCTCCCTAAAACTATCGTGTCTATTGCTCCATGACCTCCTTCTCCACTGTTCTGTCGCTCATGCTCCCACATGGAGGCTTCCTGACCTCCCCCTCTGACAGGAAGCCAGATCCAGAGAGTGACCAGCTGGGCCTGGTTCACTGATGGGCTCTTTGCTTTGCAGAGGAGAATGAGGAAAAGCAGCCACTGACCAGCAAGGAGGAGGAGGAGCGTCGCATCGCAGAGCTGGGGCGCCCAGTCCTGGGGGAGCACACCAAACTCGAAATCATCATTGAGGAATCCTACGAGTTCAAGGTACTCTCTACATCCTCTGACCCTGTTCTTCTTCCCCTCTGGCTGGGCCTCTCCTTCTGGGTTGGCACAGGATTGCCAAGCACATGCGGATGGTGTTGTGGCAAAGTGAGGCAACGCATGGCACCACAAGGTCTCAGAGCAGGACCAAGGGACACTTTGGGAGGTGACTGAGCCAAGGCATGATGAAAGACTAAGGGTTACTCTAGTGAGATGGCTGTGGGTTAAAATACACTCTGCATCTTCACTGTCCATTTTAGCCCACAGCCATGGTCCTTCAGGGACTTTCTGTCCCACCCACAAACTCTTTGTGGTTGTTATTATTATACAAAAACATCAACCTGGTGAGCCTAAGAGCTGACTGAGCTCCAAAATGCTGCAGGTTGCTTTAAAACATATCCTCGTTCTCACAGTGGTGTGGGTCCTACTTACAGGCAGTCTTGAGTGAGCCACAAGCCTGGGACTCCCAGTGCAGAGGGTTGATACCCTAAATGCAAGTAATGGTTGTGCAGCTCAGCTGCCATGAATGCATGTGCCAGACCAAGAGCTGAAAACTGGCCATTTCATTCTTTTCCACTTTTCTGAAGTATAAAAAAATAACAGACCAGCCTTACCGTGTCTCTGAGATGGTTCAAACTCCCATCATGAGCAGGCTTCAAAAGGTCTTTTTTAGCAGCAGCGAGGGGAGTTGCTGGTTTTGCTGCTGGGGCTCTTGACCTGAGCTTAAAATCTCCTAAGCTTTTTCTATAAATGCATGGCTGTAAGCACTAACGTGAGTGAGTTTTAGCCCAGTATCTCCAGCCTGATAGTCCCTAATTCTCTCCTCTGCATTTCCATCCACAGAACACAGTGGACAAGCTCATTAAGAAGACAAACCTGGCCCTGGTGGTTGGCACAAACAGCTGGAGGGAGCAGTTTATTGAGGCTATTACTGTCAGCGCGGGTGAGTTTGGACCACAGCTCCAGGTGAATTACGATCAACCTTGCTCGCATCTTGGCTTGGCTGCATCAGTAATACAGGCTGTAGAGGAGCAGCAGGAGGCAGAACAGGAAGCAGAGTTATTTACAGTGTCTGCATAAATAAGACAGCTGATTAAACCCTTTTGTAAGAGCACCTTGTCTTATGTGTAGGGAACCTGCTGCATTAAGTGTGTCTGTAGCACCAGACAGAACAACACCCTGGCTGTTACCAGATGGCAGAGGGGAAAATTAAGTTCAGTGGGAGAGATTTGGGAGATGAAGTCAGTGTCGAAATTCAGACAGGCACAGATGATGTTGGTGCTAGGCAGCAGTGGTCCCCATCCCTGGTTCTCCCTGTACCACTGCACTGAGGACAACACAGTACTGAGGGTGCCCAGCTCTGAAGACAGCAACTCTCTGAGAGCCAAAATTTACACTTGACTTCCCCTGCCTTCAGGAACTCCTGCTGCTCCAGCCGCCTGTGGCTGGAGGTTTATGGCTCAGCAGCCCAACAACTGCAGCAACATGTAGTATCTGTGGTTGGGTGTGATCATATATGATCATATCTTCCATATCTTGGAGAATTGTCTTTCCCTCAGAAATGCCCTGCTGTACAGTTCTTGCTAGTGCCAGTGCCAGTGCCGTGTTTACCAGTATGCCCAGTACAGGATAGATTATTGTTCCCACATCTGTGGAAGAGGAAAGAAAGATCTCCTCTAGATGTTGTTTTAACAGACGGATAACTCACTGACTGGATGTTACAACCTCCCAGCCCAGCCTGGGCTGTGTGTGCACACATCAGGGCAAAATCAACCCGTTTAAATTAAATCTCTGGGGAAGGCAATTAAAGCTCATCTAGCTAATTGTGCATTGAAATGCATGGGGGAACACTCACATTTCCTACCTCGAACTCAGCTATACAAGGTAATGTCTGCCCAGCACAGAGTAATTAAAAGTGATGGCCGTCCCATTTAACCTCTGCCTCTGAAAACAAGGACAGGACATTGTGCAGCAGCTATCTCTTCAAATTGCGATCCCTTCAGTTGTAGCATAGTTTTTCTCAGAGCCTCCAGGCAAGAACCTCCCATTATTTTGGATACAGCATGAACATATCATGCAAGACAATCCTTGCTGCAGGTTTTCTAGCTAACATGGCTAAACTAATCTATGCCAGAACCAATTATTTAACTGCATTCCATGTTAAGGCAAAGATAATCACTGATGCTTGGATCCTGTTTCTGTGACACATGTAAAGACTACAGTTATGTGAAATCCCTGTTCCAACCATGACTATATAGTCATTATCAGTGCTAACAGGATGATTAAGAAACATTTAATAAATGGGACATATTCTGGTGGACATTAACTGTCCCTTGCAGTTGGGAGACAGTAGGCTGTCTCTGAGCTCTGGACATACTCAGGCTTTAGCTCCTCAACCTTTCTGCCAGACAAGTTAAAATGCCTTAGACACTGGAAGCTGAGTTTGAGGTTTTTCCCTGCAGTTTACCATGGAGAGCGGGCGAAAGTCCCACATTCCCGCTTCGATGTAACATCCCAGCTGAGAAAAGAAAGATTAAAACCCCATTTCCAAACCAATATGCAACTTACAGCAGTATTTGAAGGGAGGCTGAGCGATGGAACTGCAGGTTTTAAGCCTGTGGAAGGACAGTGCAGGTACAGGCACGACTGTGCCACACCGTTCCGTGCCATTCCACACCATCCACGAGCCTCTCACCCCTAGCTCCTTTAGTGTGCACTCAACAGCTGTAAAGTTTCTTCCACAGCAAAAACATCCTGGGGGTTTGCAAGCCTGTTCCTGAATGCACCCCTGGCTCACCATCCAATCTCACTCCGCATTTCACGTCACCTTCACTGGATCTGGCCAGCTCTTCAAAAGAGAGCTGCTTAACAGAATGATGGACAGATCTGGATGAGTGCTATGACAGTGGCACTCATGTTCATTTTTCAGTCTGTTTCATCATCTCCATAAAGATTTAGGTCCATAACAGCCCTGCTGCCATGCAGCTTGGCAGGGGATTAAAATACCTGCTGCAAAATTACAGCATGAGCACAAGCACAGTGTATCTTGCCAGTGGCAGCCTTTGTGCATCAAGGAAAACCATGGGCCAATGTAGGTTTTCCAGGCTGGAAAACTTCATGACTATACACAGGAATAGGTACTTATATCTGCCAAAATAATAACACCATGCTGATGATTAGCTATGGTTTTTTATCATAGTGAGTTTGAAGCTTTGAAGCCAAGCAACGCATAATTTTTCATCAAGTTATGGCAGAGACATCAGCAAAAGTGCTTTGAAGACGAGCAATGTCTGCAAAGCTGCACCCCAACAGGATGCTGAGTAGAACTTTTCCCTGGAGGGTCATGGCTTTATTTAGCCAAATATTGTAAAGCTCCAAAGATGATGTCCATTTGGCCTCCACTTTCCCAGGAAGGATGCCATGTCTTGATTCCCTGATTGACTTTTCGCCTTTGTGATGAGGCAGAAAGCAGTTGTTGTTGTTGTGAGCATCAACAGAGCAAGCAGCTCACCAGCAGCTTCCCCCAGAAACTCTGTTGGTGTGGCACAGAGCCACTATTTGAATATGGGGTTAGTTGATACCCACATGTTGGTACACAGCATACAAGCAAGACCATTTTATTCACCCCATGAGAGGCTTTATACATTTTGTTATTCCATCAGAGATTCACATTGTGAAGGGAGGTGTGAGAGGAGGAACATTCGCCCTGCCCAGCAGCAGGGCAGATAATAGCAACACGATCTCATTTGGAATGTTGGCCTGATTAGCACTGTAGCTGCTGAGAGAAGCTGCTTTTCCCAGGCACAGAGCCAACATTCCCTTAAACCTTTGGGACCTTGTCCCCTCGCCCACTGTAGTGGAGCAGAGCAGAGGCTCCGATTTCATTGGGTGCTCTTGGCTACTCTGGGTCTTGGCCCCTTTTCTCTGCCATCCTGAGGTATCCTCCCTGGAAGGAGGGCCAGACTCACTCAGGTTGTCTGGTGGGGATGGACTATATATTGAATCCTTCCATTAGTAAGGAGCTCCTTCCAATAGCCGTGCAAGGAGATCTGTTGGTCCACATCCTTGGTAGGGAAAAAAAGTATCAAAGACAATAAAAAAATCACCAAGCAGAGTGCAATGGATGTCTTTAACACAATTTGCAGTGGCCTTGGAATCCCTGACGTTCACAACATAGAAATGAATCCTTGTTCCTTAAAGGAAACGGGAAGGCTCCCCCTAATTTAGTTGGAAGAGCATCACCTCCCCTCCATGTCTGGGAGTGGTTCCAGTTGAGAGCAGGAGCAGTTTTTGGCTATCACACCACACCGGCACTGTGTGCTGTGCCAGGCTGGGGACACTCCACATTTACCATGCAGGCTGCCCAGAGGACAGGCTGTCCAGCAGGCTCATGAGATGGCTCAACAGAGCTGCAGGAGTCAAGCAAGAGGTCACCAACCCCAGTGGGCTCACTGGCGGGGTCAGCTCCACACAGTGGGGGCTCCCTGGATGCTGACTGGTTTTGGAGAGACAGGTGAACTGCCAATGCCAGGAGCAGGGAAGGGAGAAACCAAGACACCTGCCAGGACTAACAGGATGAAGATGTGCTGGGCCAGTGTAGGGTGAAAGGGCCAAGGAATCAGGGGAGTGGGCAATCACTGTCTGCTGAACTCTTTCCCTGTGACCCACAGGAGGACTTCTGGACAACAACCTGCCTGCATGTCCAGGGACCATGGCTGTGAATGTGTAACTCCCTGAGAGCCTTTTCTGACATGCAGCAGCAGCATGCCCCCCACAGGGTTTGAGAGCCCCTGGGACATCAGGCAGGATGGGCATGAGGACTCATCCCCAGCTCCTCATCCATACTGGAGACCAGTTGCAGATGCCACAGGGACCACAGCCATGAGCAGGGGTGTGCTAGGAGGAGCTGAGTGCCCAGCACAGCACCAGGAGAGGCAGAGTCTGACCCACACAATATGCCTAGTGAACAGAGTGGAGCCATGACTGCTGGCAGGCTTGCACTGGTAAAATGACCCTTGCATTTTAGGCATTAACAACAGATTGGTAAGAAGTGAAGCACTGACATGGATCAGGGACAGAAAAAAAAGAGAAGAAGGAAAGTGCATTTTTGCTGTGACAAATGATGCCCCATAAGTGGCTCATGACCTGGGGTGCTTGACAACTACCTGGAAAGGAGTGCAAATGGGAAAGTGCTTGTTTTTGCTGGGAGTGCCCACTGACCTGGGTCAGATCTGACACAGAGAAACGAGCAGACAAAGCTCACAGGGAGGTATGTGAAAGGGCAGGAAAATGCAACAAGGAAGGACAGTCAGCAGTGACAGGCCAGGGCGGTTCTAGGGCAGGCAAAAATCCATGACTGGATCCTGGTTTACAGAAGAAGTAAGGGGAAGCACCAGAGCTAGCAGCTCATCAACCACCAAAACCAGCTGGCACTTGTGAAAGAAGATTGAAAGGGTCTTCCTTAGGGGAGTCTCCGTGAGGCACATGTTGCTTTCAGTGTGTTCACCTACCCCAGGCAGTTCCAGCCAGTATGAGGTCAGTTATTTCCCACATCTTCTGGGGAAAGGGCTCTTGAGCAGGGACTGAGGCTCACGAAGCATCTGATGGTTAAACTCAGGCAGAGGTGCTGGCGTAAGGCTCTGCATTTTCTGAAGTGCAGGTGTTTTTTTTAAAACCAATGCCTTTGCAGGGGGTCTCTCTGTGCTGTGGGAAGGCGAAAGGAAAGGCCATCAAGCTCCTCTGATGGTTGCCCAGAAAATAAGATACTTGGAAGTCAAGGCTTTCTAGGGCCCAAATCATAAGAGACAGCATTTTGTAGCCTGCAGTATGCACAGGAGCTTTGCCCAACCTCCCCCAGGGTGGGCAAGTCTAATAAGGCACTGCTGGTTTTCCCCAGGGGAAGATGACGACGACGATGAATGTGGGGAGGAGAAGCTGCCCTCCTGCTTTGACTATGTGATGCACTTTCTGACCGTCTTCTGGAAGGTCCTTTTTGCCTTCGTGCCCCCAACAGACTACTGGAATGGCTGGGCTTGCTTTGTTGTCTCCATCCTCATGATCGGCCTCCTGACAGCTTTCATTGGCGACCTGGCATCCCACTTTGGCTGCACCATCGGCCTGAAGGACTCGGTCACCGCCGTCGTATTTGTCGCACTGGGGACATCGGTGCCAGGTAGGGACAACCACAGGGTTTGTTGTAAAGGTGCACCTCTGCCCAGTCTGGGTCTGGGTTTGGGCTGGGAAAGCGCTGCTCTGCAGGACCCCGAAGGACAGATTTGAGGTATGTGTGGAAGTTGTTTTTCAGCCTCAGATGAGCCAGTATCCTGGATGTGGGTTCAGTCCCATGGAAAGTATTTCAAGGACCTTTATCTTGCAAAGACTGTGAAGTATCTAGTTCTGTGAAAGCCTCCATGGCGTCCACTTTCAGAGTAGGAAGTTGGTCTTTGATTCAAATGCTGCCTGTGTTGCCAGTCCTGCACTTTCTTTTTACACATCTGCTGCTTTAACCTTGCTCCTGGGTGATTTAATTGCTAGTCCATACCCAGGGTGCACTGCCCAGCACGGACACCTTTGTATGAGACCGAGTTCAGATGGATCAAGGTGAGGTTGCTGAGCTGGGGGAGTTGCTTGAAATGCAACTCTTGAAGCCTCACAAATATCTGGCATGGTTCCTGATCAAATGGGCACTCAGACTCAGAAGGGAGCAGAGACTGAGGACTGACCAGGGAGAGGGAAAACCACAAGTTTCCATGTCTACGTGCCACTCCCAGTGCACTCTGGGTTGCTACAACCCAGACTCCTTTTCCTCTGGCTCAGGAAAGAGTCTCACTTAGGGATGAATTGGTGCACTGGAGAGGATGGTTCCAGTGGACAGTTGCTCTGGGAATTCCCATGTCAGCTTGTGTGAGAAAGCTTATGCCTTCCACTCACCTTCTTCCACGGCCTGTGCTGGCCAGGCAGAGCCTGGTTCCTGGACCAGGGTCTCTAACACAGCCCAACCCCGACTCAGATCAGTCACACCATCCCTCACCACCTTCAAACTTCAACTTACCAGCACTCAGATGCTCAGAAATCCTGAAATTGTCCTAATGCTATCAAAGGGAAAAAGAAGAAGCAGCAGAACGAAAAGGAAGAACAGATTCAGGGCAAAGAACCCAAATCTGAGAAGGTTTGAGAAGAAGGAGTATTTTTTACACTTCTGGCAGTAGAGCTTTTAGGCAGGAGGTAGCAGGGCTGCTTCACACCCTTGACGGTGAAAATCTTCCCTCCTGCTTTTGTCGACAAAAGGTGGCATTTTAGAAGTCCTTTTTAGAATACATTCAGCTACTCTTGTTTCAACTGGCTCCCAGACTTCTTGTGTTAGCTGGGTGCTAGTTGGGCTCCTCCACACCTGCTTTCCAGGAGACAGGCAGGCATCAGAGGGGTGTGCAGTGAAATCAAGACTGACAGGGACCTTCCCTACGTTGAAAACACTGCTCAGGCTTGTGGAATTGCATGTGGGTTTTACCACACTCTGGCTGGCACCAGCAGTGTGTCCCACTCCTTCTCCCACACTGGCAGCTGGAGAGCCACAGAGGCATCAGTACTGCCCCACAGTTACTGCACCGTGACCAAGGCTGAGAACCAAGGGAAGTACCTTTTTTCCTTTCCTTAGCAATCAGGTGCATTTCCATGGTAGCTTTTTTTTTTTAATCTAAATAAAGTAGCCTTTTGATTTCTTTGCTGCAAATGAACCCTCTCTCTGTTCTTATATGTGCCCATATATGTTGCATGGATCTTTTTGCCAAACTGCCCTTGGCCATCTCACCTTGGAGCCCCGCTGGGAAGGAGTGGAAGGAAAATTCCGTAGAATCAAAACACAGGAAATTTGACCTCACTGTTTTCTTTTTCTGAGCCACACTCGGCTGCCTGTACCCAAGGTAATCTTGGAGTGCAGCTATGGCAGAGACTCATCTCCTCTTTGTTAGCCGAGAGCACTCACCTGGGCAAAACCCAGAGGCTAGTCCTTCCTGCTGCCACCTCCCCCTGCAGATCCAGAGTGGGTTGGGATGTAAAATCAGCACTTCCCTGTGGTGCAGAGCAGCGTTATGCTGGTCTGTTGACACAAGGTTTTCCATATAAAAGGTCAGCCAAATTTTATCACTGGTATTAAAGCTAGTGGAGCACCTGGGCAACTATGCACCATTTTACATGGTTTTTCTTCCCAAGGGTTGAAAGATGACCTCTGGCTTACCAAAGTGTCAGGGTCACTGGACTTCAGTGAGGCAAAAGATATCAGAGAGACAAAAGATATCAGAGAGACAACATTAAAGCAAACTCAGAAATACAAAAAAAAAACTTCAAGGGACCTGAAGGATAAATACAAACCATTGTGGCTCCACAAAGCTTTTCCATCCTGTCCAAGTTTTTTGCAAGTTTGCAAGAACAAATTAGTGGATGTGGGAGAAGAGGCCAATGCAGTGTAGTGTTGTCTCACTTGAAGAACTGCAGGACGTCTGAGGCCAAACTGGGGGAAGCCCCATATTTCTGAACATTGAGATTTCCCTCCTGTGCATTTCTGGACCCTGATTGTCACTCTGGCTCTGGCCAGTTGTGCTCTGCCTCAGGAGCGCTCATGGAAGTGGCTGTACCCTGTCCCCTTACCTATTACCTTCTTTCTCCAGGTGTTGTCATTGACACTTGTCCCCAGGCTGGCTGCTCTCCCTCCTTACCTGGATGTTACCTGAGGGTTTCTCTCTCTTCCTTTCCTTTGCAGACACATTTGCCAGCAAAGTAGCAGCAACGCAGGACCAGTACGCAGACGCCTCCATCGGGAATGTCACCGGGAGCAATGCTGTGAACGTTTTCCTGGGAATTGGGGTAGCCTGGTCCATCGCAGCCATCTACCACGCGGCGCACGGACAAGCATTCCAAGTCTCACCTGGCACACTGGCCTTCTCCGTCACCCTCTTCACCATTTTTGCTTTCATCAGCGTGGGTGTGCTGCTGTACCGGCGGAGACCCGAGATTGGAGGTGAGCTGGGCGGGCCGCGGACTTCCAAGCTGCTCACATCCTCACTGTTTATCCTCCTCTGGCTCTTGTACATATTCTTCTCATCTCTGGAAGCCTACTGCCACATAAAGGGCTTCTAAAGGGACAATAAGAGATAGCAAATATATGTATATCTATATATATCTATATAGAGTGATATATAGGTATAGATATAGATATAAAGCTGTGTATAATGAACAGAGAAAAAGAATAAAAGAAAGTTGCCATGTTCACACACCTGCTGGTGGAAAGCGGCTTTGGAGCATCCTTTGAACTAGGCAGGACCCCAAAGCCAGCAGGACCCCTCCCCAGGCAGTGGCCCCAGCCAGGAGCCAGCAGCAGGGCCCTTTCTGCAACTCTACCAACAGGAGCAGCTGATGGCCACCGAGCCCCTTTCCACCGCTGACTCCCGCCCACCAGCCACCTGGGAAGATGGATATGAAGGTGACCGGGGTGCATCGCTAATTAGGAGGGCCAGGGTAGCTGGTGAGAAACAGAGCAGTGGGTGAGGGAAGGAGAGGAAAGCAAGGGTTCTGATCTCCAACTGCCATCCACCTGCCGTCGCCACTCGAGAACATCCCCTCTGGCCCCGTTGGAGAGAAAGCAAGAGACCAAACTGAAGGCAAAGGAGAAACTGGGAGCTTTCTAAGGATAGAACACAAACCGTTCTCGTCATTGATTTGGGGTTGGTTTTTTTGTTTTGTTTTGGAGTGTGTACAACTAGCATTTCCCACCCACATGCCCCTCACCTTTCCCTCTCCATGCTTTGGGGATGCAGAGCTGCAACCTCATGTCCAGTGTCCTAAGCCGAGGCTGCGTGGGGGTGGTGGGGGTTTTCTTCCCGCTTCCTCCACCTCCTCGGGCATGCTGTCGTGGTACTTGTAACATTTGCATGAATGAAATGAAATCTATCTGTATATAGCAACCTATAGCGATAGTCCTTCCAGCTGTGGGGGGTTGAGCATTGCAGATACAAGCGTTTTTCTTTTCACTGGGTTTTTATTTATTTTTAACTAGTTTGGTTTTGCCATGGGGTTTTTCGCTTGTTTGTTCGTTTCCTCTTAGCGGGGGTAAAAGGACGGAAAGCTGTCCCCACTTATTGCTTGTTGCATGGGTCCATGAGAAGCAATAACAGCCATGAGATGTAGGTTTTCAGGGGAGGAAAACCCAAACCCCAGAGACTGCAGGCTCTGCCTACCTGTGTGGCTGGGGTCCTCTGACGTGCTGAAGCCAACGTGAAGGCTTCCACTATCCACACAAGGTTTTACACGAGGTCCCAGGGAGCCCGAGTGGGATGAGCAGTCCAAGAGGGACAAGTGTGGCTGAATCCCAGAATTTCCCATGCTTTTCTGCCTTTATAGTCGGTGGCTGCCTCAAAACCCCTTGGTCCCCTGCTGTTCCCTGTATCCCCAGAGGTCTAGTGATAGCCCCTGTTTCTGAGTGTTAAGCCATCAGGACCAGTCCACAAAGCTGGTCCTTTCCCACAGCCATTTGGAGGCAGAGTAATTCAACACAAGGGCTGAAGGGCCATAAAGAGATCTCCCACTCTGCAGAGTGCAACTGGGAAGCGTGCCCTACAGGAAAAGGCCACACTTTGCACTCTCCGAATCCGAAATTGCTGGGAAGGATTGAGACAGGGAGGTGTAACCCAGCATCCCCCCCCCCATGCTTCTAGTGCAGGTTGGGGTAGAGAGCCGAGCAGAGAAGGAGACATTGTGCACTGGTGTTGAGAGATGTCTTCTTACCCTATGCCCTTTGCCAGGTTTCCTGACATTCCAGCCAGCAAACTCCCAGCCTGCATGTCTGTGGTGAGCTCTTCCCATTCAGCTGAAAACCATGTCTGATGCTTGTACCATGACTAGCTGGCTGGGGGTATTTGTACTCATTTTGAACTATCTGTGGAAATTTTAATGGATCTGCTGTGAGATTTTCTCTAGGAATATGAGGTTGTGGAGTTTTTTTCCTTGAGCTGTTTTTTTCACTTTTGATTGGGTTAGGGGTTTTTCTTTTTGTTTTTCATTGTTTTGGGGGGAGAATCAAACACAGGTGCAGGTTGTTCAGGTTTATGATTACCTTTATGTACAATGATTTCATTTTCATCTGTTTGGCTTCATTTTTTTAGTTTGTGTGTATTGCCCACCACTATAGGCAGTGAGTCCACTAATTGTGATGATCCTTATCAATGGTACACAATGCACAGAGAAATAAAGTTTGTAATGATTCCTGATGGATCCAGTACTGCTCCTGCATATTCTCTATGGAAAACCCTTCTCTCCCCTCCAATTGTTTTCCCCTTTGTACCCATCTTTCCTTTACTCATTAGTTTGCATTCACCGTGTTTCTGCCACTGACAGGGGTAGTGGTGCTTTGCACACCTTCTCCTGCCCCATCTCACACCTTTCCTCCTGCTCCATCTCCATGGTGCCTCAGGCTCAGTATGCTGCCATACATCTGGGGCTCACAGCCCACTCCACCCTCAGGGGGATGCAGGAAACCACCCAGGGACAAAGTTGCAGTGCAACCCACCCTTCCGGGTGCAGGAGTTGCTCCTGTGCTGGGTCCCTAATCAGTGCTGAGTCGTCCTAGGCTTGAGGACAGCCGTGCATGTGCCCCCAGGGTGCTTAGCAGCTCTTTCTGCTCATGTCTTCTAGTTACATGGAGCTGCTCATGCTGTTGCTACAGCCTCACAGTGACTTGCTTCAGGTTAAGCCATGAGCTAATTCTAAGGGAGGATGCATTTCTAGGGCAGGGTGCCAAAGCAGATCTGAGACACGCCATGAGGTCACCAAGTACACCAGGACGCTGGGCTGCTCTCAGCAGCTGCTTGACCATGCCCCTGTCCAGGTGCCATGGGCCATTTCAGACCCAGCTCAGCCAGCACTGAGGAGGAGAAAACTCTCTGCATGCCCAGGGATGTTGCTGCTGCCTGTGTTTCATGCAGCCTCTGTTGAGTTGCCCCCAAATAAAACCTCCCCACGATGCCTGGGAGGTCCTGCTCCAACAGCTGAACTCAAACACCAGCTGAACTCAAACACCATCTGAACCCAGTCTGGAGATGGGTCCCAGGCAAGCACTGCCTTCATCTAGTGGGGCTCTCCTTGAGCCTCCTGGTGAGGTGTGTGTGCTCCCAGGGTCCTGCCCACGCTCCTGCCTGTCTGCCAAGCAAAGTCAGGATGGGGGCTGCACAGCCAGTCAGAATGCCACCAACAGCAGTGACTGACTCTCAAACTCCAGGCTAGACACCTGCCACCAGGCAAAAAGAGGAAGGGTAGGATGTGGCTGATTTTGTTGCAGCATGACCATGTGTGTAGAGGCCCAGAGGCACTAGAATTCCCACCTGCCAGTGCAAGGGGATGTGTGGCAGAGCAAGTAACTAACACACCCTGGCAGCCAAAGGATCTAACATGATCCCTGGGCTGCTCTCAGATGAATCTGGCCCTTCCCCACACCCTATGCTGCTTTTGGCCAGCCATGCTGCTGCTTCATTCTCCCTGTGGGCACTCATCACCCTCCCAGATGAGTGAGTCAAACTCCTCCACTCCCCAGGCCACCTCGAGCATGGCCAGTCACGTTTATTGCTTTTCACAGGCAGTGGATTGTGAAAGCAAAGCAGCTCTTCTGACCCAATAATTACTTCCATTGAAAGGTGATGTTGGTGTTTTGCTCTCATCATTTGCTTCTTCAGAATGAATTGTAGTCACTGAAGTAATTAACAAGCCAAATGGGACTTGTGTAGCCACTCAGGTTAACAGACAGTAAATAACTGTTTGCTCACAGAGCTTTACAAAGGGAATGATGGAGCAGTGCTTGCTTAGGGCAAGGCCTAAATCACAGGGTAAACACCAGCCCTGTTTATGCAATTACTCCCTGCCAGCTGTGTGCTTTGTGGCATCTTCAACGAGGTTATGCACAGCGCAATGTGTGTGTGCCCAGTGCTCATGGAGGAGTCACGGGTGAGCAGCAAGGGGAAGGACCTCTCCACTGAGCCCCAGACACCTGCCAGTGTTCTTAAGGGTGCCATGCCTGCTCTTCTGCACCAGCCTTGTCTTTAAACCATACTCTCCGAAGGCAAAAGCAAACTGCCTTCCTCCAGAAGACACCTGGGCTGGCTGGCACACTGCTGGGAGGCAGCAGGAGGAAGCACAGTCCCAGCACAGGCACCTCTTGCTGTCGTGCCTGCTCGCCTGCCCAGTGGGCCACAGCTCAGCTCCCCGGGTCCCCTGACTCATGTCAGTGTTCTCACATCTCCTCCTCATTCCTGCCAGCCTTCCCACCCTCTCTCACAAGGGAAGGACGTGGAGCATCTCTGATAAAGGCCTGGGTTCAGAAATGTTGCCAGAAACAGCGGTTTAAACTCTTGGCCTCCATCTATCCACTTGCCCTGTTTGCTTTCACTGCCTTTCGGCACCCCACTAGCCAAAGGTAAACTTTTCCCCAGAAAAGGATGCAGCGTGGTGCAAAGAACATTCAGAGGCAGACACCCAAATAGCTCCACAGGCCACTGCAAAGCACTTGGGGACAAGCAGAAGGAACACACCAGAGACAGCCCTAAGCATCTTGGAAAAACCGTATTCCCAGCTCTTCAGGAGTGGAGGCAAATTCCAGCCACAAACTGAACACATGAAAAAAGTGGGGGGGGAAAAAAAAAAAAAAAAGAGCAGCAAATCATCAGTGACTCAAGGCTGAGCCCACCCGAACTGCTACCTGTGCCAGGGCAGCACAGGAGCCGCTCCCTCCAGAGATGTGAATCCCTCATCTCCAAACAAGGCACCTGCCTGTGTGTCACCCCTTCCCAGGCAGCCTGTGGTGCCTCTGGGATGAGGGGCAATCACAAGAGTCATTTGTGCATCTTCCTCCCCGCTCTCATCGCTCCCTTAAACGACAAAAGGGAGAAGGGAAGCCTTGAGCCCGCTCTGGTCACGAGTCTGACTGCAGTCTGTAAACTCATCAGGCTATTTCTGCTACGGGCAGGGACTGGAGAACCAGAGCCCATATGTTATTGTTACAGCTATTTTTAAATGCTTGGGTAAGAGTCAAGTGCAACAGTATTGGTGACCATATTCATAACTCAGGAGGAGACTCAGCTACATTCCTGGAGGGACAGAGCTGGGCATAGCCAGAAAGCAATGGAGAGAGAGAAAAGAGGGAAAACTTAATGCTGGATGGTGTCACTCCAGGAGAAAGCCTTGAATTGTTTTCCGTAGGCTTTGGCACTCAAGCCCATCTGGGGAAGCACGTTTGCAGAGCACCAGGGACCTTTCTGGCCTCTCTGAGTGTGCAATGACCAGCTACTGTGACGCTTATACAGACAAGCTGCACAGCTGTAGAAAAGCCTGTTTATCTTGTAAAAAAATTGACTTGCATAGGAAAGCATCCGGAGACATCCGTATTCTTGCAAAAAGCACCAAGGGACAATAAATGCAGTGAGATTCCTCACCTTTTATGGACTTGAGCCTTTCTGCTTTTGGAACTAGAGGTGCCAAAGAGCCTCTTGCCAGCCAGCAACACCCCTCACCGAGAGAGAAGGGACACTGCAAGGGAAAAGGACCTGTTTGGCCGAACAGGAGCTGTTAACAGCAAAGACAGAAACTTGCTGCTACTGGAAGGATTCTGTGGTATGCTCCTGAGAGCATCCAAGAAGTCTCCGCAGGGTCTTGCTGTCTCTCTGGAGCATCTCAAGAACAACCAGCCCTGCCCTCTGAGGCCCAGTGTCCCCAGGGTGGTTTACCGCCCTCTCCTGCAGGCTCTGCACCCTCCCTTGGCTCCTTCCCCCTTCCCAAAGCTGGCTGCCAGGCTGTGTCTCCCCTCACTAGAAGTGTGGAAGAGGGCACTGGGGTGCACCCTGTTCCCAAAGCAGCTGCTGTGGAGCGCTGCTGAGCAGTGGAGCTGGGTGCTGCTGGTGGGGTGCCCACTGTTAGAGAGCACAGGGAGGGCAGAAGTGCTGTGGGGTCCCACACAGATCCGGAAACCTTGTTTTAGGCACTGTCACAGCATGTCCCTCTGCCCCAGCTACTGTGGGTGTGGACATGCATCTTGATTTCTGCACAGATACAGTACAGCCTTTAGCTTGGCTGCCTATGGGCACCAGCCCTAGACAGTAATTTTATGTATTTGATTCAAAACAGCCCTTGGCCTGCTGTACTGCACTAGAAAAGCTTTCTGCCCCTCCCAGCATGCAGCCCCCCTCCAGTTCAGGTAACAGTGGGGACCACTGAGCACATGCCACCTGATGCTGGGGTCCTCCAGCATCTGCCTTGAGCCATCTCAAGGTACCAAAATTACTGTCTATACACAGTGGTAATCCAGCCCAGCCTTGCTCTGTGCTGAGGCCCCTGTAGAGCCTCTTCTTCCAAGCCCCCTGTAGAGAAGCAGTCTGTGTCCCCCCTGCCCCACAAATGAGGGCTTCCTGTGGTGGGACAAGTCTCCTTTCTTACTGCAACAAACAACAACACTTGTTAGCTCAGGCTTGCTGTCCATGTCTCAGGACAAAGATTAACCACCCCATGTGGTGGACTTGAGCCCCTACAAACCAAGGAGCAAGGCAAATTTCCATGCAGCAGAGGCAGAGCTCAGCTTGCTGAGGCCCTCCTGCTCATCACCCAGCCACTACCCACAGGCACAGTTTTTATTGTGCCACCGTCCTTCACTCATGAGTCTGGGGAAGATTAAACATTTTCTGCTGAATTTCCACCGTTATCAAGTCCTACAGATGCTCCAGCTCCACCCCTCAACCCAACCCTGCCTCTACATTCCAGAACGAACTAATTGCTTTAACTGGAGGGTCAAGGCTTTCCTGCCCTTGTTTAAAATGGGCACAGCTTAAGTAAAGTTAAGTTGCAATGGCTTGGGATGTCTATCCACTCTTAGAGCTCCTAAACCTTGCAGGATGTGGAAGACTCTCCCTGCACCTCCTGACCTCTTTGTTGAGGTGGGATTTATTTCCTCTCCTTTACTTCTGACTCAGAAGAGATTCTACAGATGACAGCAGGGTGAGACCTGCATACAGTTCAGCCTTGTTGCTCCATTTTCTTGAGAGAAATTGCCATTGCAATCCATGGCACTGTCATCCCCAGGAGTGTGTACCCCTCTACCCCAGCCCACAAGGCTCCTTACTTACAGAAATCTGAGATTCTGGCAGATGAGCTTCTTTGCAGAGATACTTTGAAATGAGGAGAGTTTCTGAGTCACTGTAAAATTGCTGTGCTGGCACAGGACAGACTGCGTCCTAGTGGTGCAAATGTGTCCCAGGTTGCTATCAAGCTTATGTGGTAACATTAATGAAAGCATTTGCAAACTAGTGGCTTTGTGACTCCCAGGGATGTAGCGAACTGGATTTCCCCTTGCTCTGTGTAATGCTGAGATATTTCCCTCGCCTCTTGCCTTCAGCTCCAGCCCTGTACATTGCCCTGGCCTTTTGCTGCAGTAAGAGCTGTGATTAGGTACCCCTTGGCTGAACTCCCCCTGTACAAATGAGAATGAACCGATGCCTGTTGTGTCTTCATTCGTTTGCCCCCTGTTGCTTCCTTCATCTTCTGAGCTCTTGAGAAAAACATGCTCATGCAGGGAGCCTTGCAGGAGACCTGCTTGTCTTGCTCTTAATCAGGAAACATGCACTTCTTTCAGCAGCTCAAGAGAGCAATAGGTGGCAATAATACCTCTTACATTACAGTCACTACGTTAGCAAGGAAGAAAATGTTATTTATTTTTTCCCTGACATTTGTCCTACTTCTTTTTTCCATAATGCATTAAGCATTAGGAGGCACAGCTCTGCACGTAGTCCAGCTCTCAAGGCTACCTGTTGAGGACATTGTTCAGCAATTCAGCACAGTTTTATTTGTGGATGAAGGGCAGAAGTTGGTGAATTCTCCTACAATTCCTAGCTGGAAGAACACAGACATGCTAGTAAAACCCACAAAATGCAGAGTCTGGTAAATTGCAGCCCTCTATATCCTGGGTCTCTGTGCTAAGGAGAACTGGCACGAGGTTGTAAAATCCGAACCATGAACTTCCTGAAGCCCACTGAGCAGTGATGGCATCTTTACACCTACTGCTGTCCCTCAGCTGTCTGAAGAGGTCTCTGGTATACCTGGTGTTCACCAGGTGTGAACACCACAGCTAATAAAGCAAGAAGAGGACACAGAGGATACTACGTTCTACCTCCCACCCCAAAAACAAGCCCCTGGGATATTCCCAGCAAAAAGCAGTCAGACTGCCAGGAGCAAAGCAGTCACTGGGAAACCTCACACATCTCAGAGACAGGGGGTTCCTCATGGTACTCTCTCGCTGCTGCTCCCCACATCACTGCCGTGAGGGAAGAGGCACTCACAGCCCAGCACCCTGCCAGGCAGAGCCAGAGGAGAGACCTGAGCTCCCCATGCTTGTTCGTGGGAGCATCAGCCCTGGTTTCAGCCAGGGAGGCCTGCAGGGAGTGGCCGTGATATTTTGAAAGAGAGGGAAATTAGATGGGAATTAGTCAAAAAATTACAGTAGCAGCAATTTAGATCCATTACTAATTTTCTGCATTAATGAAGAGGCCTAATTATCTCAACGCTTGAGTGACCACTCCAGTTCTCAAAGTCATTTCTGCACACTTGAACAACTGCTCCTCCTTCTAGATTAAAAATCAGGCTGTTGTTGTGAGCTTGGAGAGAACACGGGAACACATCTTTCCTGGCAGAGATGTAATCCACGTCTGAAGCTTCTTCCACTGCCCCACTCAGTAGTGGAGGGATGCTCGGGCAGGGAGCTGGCAGCTGCCTGCACAGCCTGTCCCAGGGTTGCTGGACACTCCCCATGGCTGAGGCAGCAAGGATCCCCTGGAACGGCAGGGTGCAAGAGAGAAAGAGCTCAAAATGGCTCTCTGGGTCTAAGAAGGGAAGGGAACAGCTGGTGGTTGGATGCATCCCAGGAGGCGAGACAAGGCAGGCAGCAGATGAGCGGCCCTGCAGCACAGGTGACTCCCCCCCCACAGGCACAGCATGCCAGGGTGGGGGTGGCACTGCCAAGGCAAGTTGTCTTCTGGTATTTTGGATGTAATGGCTCTAGCTTTCCTGCTCCCCTCTGACAGCCACCACTGTCGCCCCGCTCAGCAGCCCGAGGGGAGCTCCCCATCACCCCAGGAGGAGCACGGGGGAGGCAGGCAGGGAGAAGGCTGCAACCACCCATCCTGATGCACCCAAAGCACCAGTCAGCCCAGCCATTGTCATCATCCTGTGTTACCCATCATCCTGTGTGTCCTCCACCTCACAGCCACAGGGTACTCTAGGGCAGATAGACGTCTTGTGCAAACCTTGACACAGAGAGAGAGAGAGAGAGAGAGAAAGAAAGATCTCAGCAGCCCAACTGGCCCCCTGGTCCCCACACCAGGGACAGAGCAGGCAGACCCCAGCTGGACAGAGCCAAATTTTTTCAAAGCAGGGCTGAAAGAAGAGTTTTCAGAAGAACTGGTTTGCCTGGTGACAGGAACCAGAGCATTGGTCATAAATTCAACTCCACCTTCCTTCTGCCACCTGTGCCATGCTTGGTGCCACGAGCTGGCACTGCCCCAGCAATGCAGAGCCCCTGTGCTGGTGGGTCAAAGCTGGGTCATCCCCAGGCTCAGCAGCTGGAGCCTCTCAATCTCTCTGTCTCTGTCACGGTTCCTCACAAATTCAATGTCACAATGCAGCTACACTTATATGAAAAGCCATAATATTTGTTGGTATGACTCTTTTATTACTGTCAATTTATATATATATTTGTTGATAAAAGAAGTCATCTTGGGAGACACTTCTAGTCTACTAGGAAATAATTGTCCGATGCTGTATATTCTGTACATGCTGTATAAACAAAGCGAAACATTTAAATCTAAGTGTTTGGTGGGCTCGGTGGGATGTGCTGCAGGGGGAGATTGGGACCAGGCAAGCCCCCTTCTTGGGCCACCATGGCTCAGGTTTGGGCTTCCTGGCAGAGTCACCATCCTGCTGGGGTCCTACAGACAGCCTGGGGCAGGATCTGGCCACGGTGCAAGGGCGAAGCCTGCGGCTCCCTCGGTGCTTTTTCCCATGCAAAGGTGAAAGGAGGCAACTCTGCGAGTGGAAGCTGCCGCACTTGAGCTCCCTCCTGGGGCACAGCACGGGACCGGGGAACGGCTTGGTTTGTCAGGAACCCTCAGCACAGTGAGCCCGGTGTCACCCACCTGCTCCCCAGTTCTCCTGCCCAGGGAGGACACCCTTCAGCCACCACCCAGCACGACATCTCTAAGCCTTAGGGGTCAGAGAGAGACAATTCCCCATGGGAAGATGGCCGGTGATGGCAGAGACTGGCTCAGAGCATCCAGCTCCTCCAACTCCTTCCCACGCTAATCCCGTGCCACGGCGCCAGCCACCCTCCCTGGTGTGTTTTACAGCAGCCACGAGCTGTTGTGATCTTCTAACCTGACACACGCTGTTAGAAAACCTGTTTCATATTTTCCGTGGTATCAATCTACAACTTTTGAAATTATTGGACACAGTCGTGGTAGCCTAAAAGTTGTGCTGAGCTCATATATTTTTATATTTGTGGTGTTTTCCTATTAATAGAGAGTAGTGAACCAGTGACCCTATAGTTGAAAGTGATCTATTCAAAATAAATATATGACTGCAGAAAATATTTGTAAAAATAATTTATTTGAAATATTCTGCCAAAGATAGCTCTCTAATGATCTGTAAAATGTCATTTCTCTCTTTTTGCTCTGAATGTCATTGTGAAAGGACCTTTCTCCCCACATCTTTTGAAGATTTTTTGGTTTTTTTGTATCTTTAAGGGCAAAGAAACATGCCAATGATTTTTTTACTAGAGGAGTAAATAGAGTAGTAGGGAGGCACAAGACAACTTTGTAAAGGTGATAAAAAGGACCCATAACAATCACTCTGAAAATCCAGTTTCTCCCATAGTTACTCTGGCTGACAGATGGGTTTTGAAGCCTGGGACAGTTGTCCAGCAGGAAGGTCTTGGCTGCTGCTACTGTGGCTGCTGTGTAGATCACCTGAAGGAGAGACATCTCCCAAGAATCCATTTGCAGGCTTGGAGCATTTGGATTCCATCACATCCAAACTTCAGCTTCTTCATTATTTATGGGCTTGATATCCTTGTTGGCCCTTAATAGGCCTTGTGGCACATGGAGAACCCTCACCCAAGGCTTCAGCCTGACGAAGTCTGGCCCCTTCCAAAGCCATTCCCACAACACACCTGGCATCTGCCAGCAGCCCTGAACCAGTGGCAGAAGCAATCCTGCTGACATCCAGATCTGTCCCCTTCCTCACAGGGGGATGGGACAAGGGAGACTCAGCGACCATGGGACATGACACCTTAGCAAGAGGATCCATCCCTGCAGGTATCCAGTTAAAACAGGGGGATGTACAGCCCTTCACCTGGGAGAAGCTGCCTAGATTAGTCTTTTCAGAAATTACTAATCTTTTTTATTATAGAGAAAAATCTTCTTTTCCTTCTTCATCTCTTCCTTTTGAAAGAACTTTTCAATACTAGAAAAAGTCTTCATTATCCCATGTGATCCCCAAGTCTGTTGCAGTGGAAATATCAGCCACATTAGGTACCACCATATCAAAGAGATTTTTGGCTCAGATTTTTTTCATTGCTGAGCAGATTCACAGTTTCTTGAATGTCTTGGTCATAAAGGTCTGGAGGAATTAGTTGGTAATAAAGGAATGAAAGGCCCGTTCCAGTGAATGTGTTTCCACATGCAATTCAACTTTTGACTCCCCAAAGGTCTGGCACGTGTGTAAGTGCTTTTTATTGGGCAGGTGCCCAGAATCAGAGATGGGAAAAGCAGTTTTTCAAGCCATGGGGTGCATATGGGTGTGATGGGAGCACTGATGTCCATCAGGTGTGGGTGGCACACTCTGCAGCAGCGGAATCCACGTGCCAGTGAATCTTTGTTCCTCTCTGCAAGGAACTCTCTGAATCTGGGGTTGCACAGCTGCTGCATCACAGGGCAATGCGAGCAAGCCAGGGAAGACAATAGTGAGAAGAATTGGGTTTCTGATCACTGTGCATTTTGTTAATTAGCGAATTCAAATAGTTTTATTTTTACCAAAAACAGATAATCTTTATTCCAGTAAAGACAACTGTTGACTTCAGATATATATATAAATATATATATATATATAATTTGAATGGTTTATATCCTGTTGCTCTAACTACATAAAATGGAAACATGTTGCAAGTTGTGTCATTCCAATGTACAAAATAAATTACTTTTCCCTGCATGCTGCCTGGGTATGTTGTGATTTGAATTAAGAGTTATATTTGAACTGCCTTATTCAAGAGGTTGTATGTTACCTAACTGGGGAATGACCTGGCACTGTTCATCACATTACATTTGTATTTGATGCTGTGTTATGTCAAATTCAGATGAGTTGTCTGTCATCTATGTATTCTGTGGGAGACCTTTTATCTTGTTAAACTGTGATATGTAAACCTTCATTGCCTGAAATAGTCACAGTTGTATAAATCAGTGTCTTCAGCTGTTTTCCTAATTTTATCACAATTCCTAACACAAAATATAGATGTTTGTAAATTCTCCATTCATTTTGTCTATTTTTATGTATGAGGCTTTTTTTAATCTGGCAAAGCAGTAAAATAAGGCTGCTTCCCCAGAATTTTTCAATCAAGACTCCGTTACATTTTTATCCCTCGGCGAGAGGCAACAACCAATTTTCAGCCGCTACAATTGGAATTAGGGATGTCCGTTTATTGCTATTATCTTTCCTGGCTCAGATGGGCCATTATCACTGCAGAACACAATGATTAATGACAAGCAAAACGTGATGCTTCTGCAGTGACAGCGCTCTGGGGACCAGGCACTCCACAGCACCTTCTTCAGGCCCTACACCTCTGCTGTGCCCACAGGCTGGGTGGGAAGGGAGAGGGTGGGTGCCCCTGCCACAGTCAGACAGCCCAGAGGAGAGAGGGGAGAGATGTTGCTAATCCTGACTCCAGGATGCTTTTCCTCCTTACAAAAACCCCAAGACCATGCCATCTGCCCTCCTGCACGACACCCCAGCCGCAAAGCTGCCCCTTGTCCACTCATTTGCCCCACAGCTGCAGCATGTTGCTGAAGACCAACATCCCATCCTGATATCGTATCGGGAAAAATCCCCCACCACGGCTGCTCCTACAGCATCTGCTGAAGCCATACAGCGGGGTTTTTTTCTAGCTTTGGTTTCCAGCCATGGGATCATGTTACTCCATGGCTGGCTAACAGCAATGTGCTCCCCAGCTAGACAGTAGTATACTCCACACAGGTCAGATCCTTCGGAAAATATGCCGCAGTCTTGAAGGAAGCAGCACCGTGTAGGCACAAACCTGTTCCAGTGGTGGCACAAGGACAAGGTGACCCAATACCCCCTGCAGCAGGGGTCACTAGTTCTGCTGTGTCACCCCCTCCTGTCCCCCACCAGACAGACAAAACTGGCTACAGCACAGCCAGGAAACAGGTCTGTTTGGGAAACAAACCCCCAGAAGTCCATCTCCAGCTTGCAGGTGACTGGAGCATTTCTGGACATTTTAACCCCATGCCTAAAATCCCAACTGAAACAGTTGTTGAGATCGTTAAAACACTCTTGCCAGAGGCAGAACACAGTCCCTGCTCAGTTGTGCAGGTGCCACATCATCCTAAACACAAGTAGCATAAATGTCTCAGACACACAAAGCACGCCAGGGTGTCTCAGTCCTTCTGTGAAGGCCCCACCGTCCTCTCCCCACTCGTCCAATTTTGACTGTAGTGGCACACCTGTGCTGCACAAAACACTGCTCAGTTTTTATGTCTGGTAACCATAAGAAACACATGGTTGGAGAAATAAATTACTGGAGCAGGATACGCCATGGCGCTGGATTAGTGAATCCCTTCAAGGGTTTTGAGTGTTAAAAAATTTCCTGTCCCATCCAGAAACGCACCCAATTTTTTTAAAATTTATTTATTTATTTTTTTTTTTACTTCTGGTATGTTTCAGGTTGAAGGACATTGCTGTCATAAGCACTGGGAAGGGCTGGGGTGGTGCGGGGAGGAGGTTGCCAGAGGCGGTCAGGCAGTGCCTTACCCACTCAGGGTCTCTCAGCGTGTCCCCGAGGGTTCCCGACAGCCGCACCGCTGTCGCCCAGGGGCGCCGAGACCGGCACAACTCAGCGCAGGCAACGCCGGTGGGCGGGAGCCGCCAAAGGCCACGCCCCCCAAGGCGGCCCCCATTGGGTGCGGTTCCCGCGGGTTTGCGGCGCGGGATGGCGGCGGAGCGGGTGATGGAGCTGGTGCGGGAGCTGCACCGCGCCGCCGGCGGGCACCTCCCGCCCTTCCGGGTGAGCAGGGACGGGCCGACCGGGAACGCCGGGAGCGGCAGGGGCCCCGCTCTCGCTGACTGTTGTGTCCCGTGTTGCAGACGGAGGGGCTGCGGCAGGCGCTGGAGGAGATGCGGGCGCTGTACGAGCGGAACCAGGCGGATGTGTGAGTGTTGGCGCGTCCCGCAGAGCTCGGGAGTTGCCCCGCGCTCCGACCTTATTCTCCTCATCTTCCTCTTCCTCGTCCTTCAGGTCCGAAGCAAAGTCGGGACGGACAGACCTAATTTTCCTCATCCGGTTCCGGCACTGCTGCTTGCTCCGGAACCAGCGCTGCCTCCTGGCCTACCTGTGAGTGCGGGGGGCGGCCGTCGGTGCCGCGGGGAATTGGTTCACCCCCACCGGCACAGGGCCCCCAGCGGCAGGGTGTTGGAACTCGGCCCGCGAGGTGTGGGGCTGGTTTTCCTTGTCTTCATTGGTGGTACCACCACATAGAGAAGGCCCTGCTTCCCTCTGCCCTTTAAGAGTTTTCATTATGAATAGGCCAAATATCACAGGTGGAATGACCCAAGTGTTTGCTCTCTGCTCTGAGGGCAGACTGGGCCATCACTGTTGCCCGGGGGTGTTGCCAGAACTCACCTCAGGGATGCTGGGTTTGCCGCGCTTCTTCCCCCAGGTACGACCGGCTGCTGCGGATCCGAGCGCTGAGGTGGGAGTACGGCAGCGTCCTGCCAAACACCATCCAGTTCCACATGTCAGCTGAGGAAGTGAGTCGGCCTTGTTTTAAACTCTTCCCCTTTTCCTACTTACTCCTCCTCTCCCCCCCACTATAAACACGATACATAACGTGCCTTTCTGTAAATACGTATTTGTTTATTCACTCTCTATGGGTACAACCACAAATGGACACTGAGCGTACGTTTTAATGCACTTTTAAGGATCAGGTGAGCTCCACTGGATCAGACTCACAGAGAGACCAAGAGAACTAGGTCCGTATGTGCTGCTCTCAAATGCCGTCTCTAGACCAATGTACAGAGCTGCTGACATTAGCAGCATCTGTCCTACACTGAATCCAGAGCGCACTGCCTCAGAGGTGGTTTTTCCTTTTAGAAGAGCTTGTATTCGTTCACCTTTGGCTGTCAGGAGCATGCTTGGGAACAGTGGTCTGGCAGCACAAATAAACTAGATCTCATTCATCAGGGACCTGTCTTTCAGCATTAGCTGTTTGGCTTTGACTGAGGGATCACCGTTACTGCCCACAGGTGGAGTGGTTCAATCGGTACAAAAAGTCTCTGGCTACGTACATGAGGTCAGTAGGAGGAGAGGAGGGGCTGGACCTTACACAGGACATAAAACCTCCTAAAAGCCTGTACATTGAAGTAAGTGCAAGATCTGTGTCTTCTGTCTGTGAACAAACATTTACCTGACCGTCTTTTTTAGAGAATTTTATCCCCATCCCAAGTCAGTTCACTGAGCAAAGCCTGTGAGAGCACCAAAGCTTCCACAGGCTTCTAGATTTTACTCTGCCACCGTTTTACTCCTACTGATGACACAATGTATGGTCAAAGATGGTATTTCTAGTCTGTAGGACATTTGTGATGGGTGAGTTATCCAGTGAGGTTTCTGCAGCTTTTGGAGAAACTTAACCAGCTCTCAGATCAACCAGAAACCATATTCCCATGTTAAGGACTGTTACCTAGGGGGTTTTCTTGAGGTTTTTTTTTTTTTTTAATGGAGTCTTATAGATGAGACTATAAATTGCTTTATACAATTCATACAACAAAGCAAGAGCATGTGAGAAATCACGTGCTGTCAGTAGCTGAAGTGCTTTGTTCTGATATCCTCTTCAAAAAAACACGTAGTGACAACAAACCTGCTCCTTAAGCAGTTTTATTGTTAAAACAGATTGGCGTTTTCTGGTACGTTTGTGGGGAGGGTCAGGTCACCAGACCCTATCTCTGTGCTTCTCTTCCTCAAGTCTCTGGAGAGACTGGGCTCTTGCTCCAGGCAGAGGCAGAAAGAGAACATCAGGTGGAGCCCACAGACCATGGGAACTGATCCATGGGATCAGTTCAGTTCTGCATTTCTAGGTCTGCTCTGTACTGAGACTCCCTCAGGCAGGAAGGAATGTGTCACAGTCCTGGGGCACGTGTTGCAAGCCAGCAGTGATGTCTGGTGTTTCTATGGGAGACGGGGTGATCTGAGAGTTGTGTTTCTGCTTCGCAGGTGCGGTGTTTAAAAGACCATGGAGAATTTGAGATTGATGACGGGACTACCATCCTCTTGAAGAAGAACAGCCAGGTACCCATGACAAGGGCATGGTCCATTCTCTTCCTTCCCTTTCACTCCCATGACATCCCCCTGCTTATCCCAGCTTTGCAGTATGTCACAATTCCTGCACATGACCCAGACTGCAGCTCTGCCTAGTCTGGTACCATGATGCAGTGGATATATAGCCCAACAAACAGAGCTGGCTGTGTGCAGCTGCTGCTGTGTGCAGCAACAAATTCAAGGAAAGTTTTCCTGTGTTTCTGTGCAGCACTTTTTACCCCGCTGGAAATGCGAGCAGTTAATCAGACAAGGAGTCCTGGAGCACATTCTGTCCTAAGTGTGGAGGACAGGAGGGACAGCTCTTGCTTGGTGGCCTGCCCACAGTGGGGACTGAACTGTAGTGTGTGCAGCACTTCAGACACCTTAGCATTTCTGCAGTGGCACCCTGCCACTCCTCCCAACAGCCTTTGGTGCCCTACCTGAAGATCAGCCCTGTATTATGCAAACGACATTGGCCACCTCTTTGGGAGGAAATGGTGCATTCTGGTAATGTAGTGATCCTGGGAATGGGGGGGTAGGAAGGGGGGAGCGGGACATTATCCAAGCCCCAGAGCTACAGCTAGCATTTGTGAATGCATTTTTGTTTAGAATAGTTCATTGTTCACATGGGAGTAAGACACCAGCTGGCTGGGCTCTGGAAGTCAGGAAAGCTCTGTGGTTGCAAAATAAAGAACTGCTTCAGCCTTCACTGTAGTGGTTTATAAGAGTTAATGTTGTGTTCATTAAGCACTCTGATCTGGCTCTCTAGTCAAACCTGTCCTGACCCTGCAGCATGATGGTTATTTAAGTGTCTCAGTGAAACTTCCTCCAAGTGTCAGAAAAGGCTGTGCAAGCTTCTTTCCAGGATTAGACACGAAGCCCTGTCTCCCATCAGAGACCTATATATGTTGTTTCTTGAGGTGCTGTGTGAATGAGCAGTGTGGGTTTCTCCCAAGCACTGGGCTTCCCCAAGCACTGGTCTGGCAAGGCCTAGGGGACTGTTTGGTGTAGGGGTGGGAAAGGGAGCTGAGGGTTTAAAGGATTTCAGTTAGCACAAAACCAGAACGAGGCTGAAGACTTGCTTTCCCTGTCTGGTTTTCCTAATGGAGCTGCTCACTCAGGAGAAGTGGCTGAGAGAACAGTTGCAAAAACATTAGCCCTGGCTAAGACTAGAGGTTTGCTTAGCCCCCATCTCTGACTGGAGCTGAAAAAGCAAGCAGTTGGGGAAGAATGCAGGAACAGGATAAATGCTTGGGGTGCTACTGCGTTGCTCTCCCACCCTCAGCCAAGCAATATCCCTGAGCCCCTCTGTGGGGCTGCCCTCCTTATAACAGCCCAGCTTCACCTTGTGGCCCCAAGGCAAAGAGGAGTGTCAGCTGTTGATGCATCAGGGCAAAAAAAGTACAGCTAAACCAAGGAGGCTCCTCAGTCACAGCCTCCAGTCATCTCCAAGCCCTGCCCCAGGGCCAGAAGTTCTGCTCTAGCAGGCTGAGGGGCAGCCTTAAACACAGTACCTGAGTTTCAGCTCACAGCCAATTTATCCCCTTTTGTTCCTGAACCAACAACAGCGTGAGCTATTTTTAAGCCCTCTTCTTTGTACTGACTTTGTCCAGCCTCTGCACTGGTGCCCTGAAATAGTCAGGCTTGTCTGGTCTCTCCTACACTTGTCTCCATAGCCCCCAAAATCCCAGGAGTCTTTTCACAGCGAGTGGCAACCACAGCCCCTATGTATATGTCCTCTGCTCTCGCCATTGCACCGGGGCAATGATGCACCTTCCATGCAGAGGGCAGAGCAATAAATTTGGTATTTGCTGATGTGAATACTTGGCCTTTTAGACAACTTACTTTGGCAGTAGTACTACCTGTCAGTTTGTAAAGGCCACCAAGGAAGGCAAGAGGACACAGTTCACTTACCATGTCTCCTGTCTCCTCCGAAGTGTGCTGAGTAGGGGTCATCAACACTCATCAAGCCCCAAGCCTTGGAGGCTCAAACTGAAAGAAGGCTCTACGCTCTGTCCCACTCACTGCAGAGGCAACAGTCTGGTTGGTTTTGGATCCTAGGCTCAGGCTTTGGGTGGACCAGTCTGCTAGAGCCCAAGAGGAGCTGTAGGGAATGAAAGTTCAGCAACAGCTGAGGAAGGTTACTGAAATACAGAGCAGACTGGAGATGGCAGGAAGTGCTGTAATATTACAAACATTTTAATGCCACCACAAAGCTTTCCTGATCACAGTGAGCCAGACACAGGAACATGCAAGCCCTTCTGCCCTGGCTTTCCAGCCATAACAGTGTGGCCTGAACATCAACCCTCCACAGAAAGGGAGCATCTGCATCACCACCAAACACTGCTGGAGTTTAAGAAAATCCTGTGGGATGGCTGCCCCGAGACAGATCTGACTTATAACAGCACACTCTACCACTGAGAAATGCGGCAAAGCTGGAGCTTTCAGTTGGAAAATTCAGCTATCCACAGGACAAACTTCTTTAAAGATCTGGGCTCTCTATTATCTTATTTTCTATGCAAGAACACCTTGACAAGACCAGAGAGGACAAGGCTGATTTCCCAACCCAGCCAAACCTCCCCTTCTGCACCTGACCAACCCCAGCCAGCCAGGACCAAGGGCAGGACTGCCACTGAAGGTGTCCCATCACCCACTCAGAGATGCTGGGGTGATTTTTCCGATAAGCTGCTTCAGAGCTGAGGCTTGCTCCTCCAACAGCTGGTTCTTCTCCTTCATGCTCTTCTGCTGCAGTTCAGCAGCCTGCAGGGCCACTGCAAACCCCCTGTTCTCCCCACGGAGGTCTTCGATCAACAGTTTGTTCCTGGAGAGTTGGGCCTACAGAAGAGACAGGAGGCTTCAGGTTCAGCATGCCACGCAGGGGTACCAGGCAGGTAGGAACACCCAGGACTAACCCCTCTTGCACTCACCTGGGCGTCTCTGAGCCGAGCTGCCCTCTCTGCCAGCACAGCCTCAGCGCTCCTCAGGCTGTGTTCCAGCCCCTCTGCCTGCTCCACAGCTGCCTGCAGCAGGTGCTCGTGTTCCACCTGCAGTGGGCAAGAAAGCCTGTGGTTGGGTTGTCCTAGCACTCCCCTGGCCTCTGGCAACCGTGGACTGTACATTTCCCCAGGGCCCTGTTCATAGACCTTCACACTCTCTGAAGGAGAGCAGGGTGGGATCAGGTGAGGTGCAGGATACAAAGAGCAGTGGGAAAGGTGTCTAGAGCAGTACAACCTTCCTCTAGGTCTGCACCTGACGAATTTTAAGATTTCCCAGCAGTGTTTTCTATAAAAACAAGCCAGTGGCCTCCCCTTTGCCAGGCATGTCCAGAAAAGCCCAGGGAGAGACAGAGTTTCCTTCAACGTAGTCTTTGTGTGTGCTCATTTTAATTCCTTAGGTTATAATTTGCTCTATCTTTGCCCTGTTTGTCACAAGACAAGCTCACACAAACCCAACACCTTGTTGCCCAGTGCCCCAGAGATAAACCCCCCACACACTCCGTGAATTCCACACAGAGGGCTCAAACTTTTTTTTCCCCCAGTCTGAGCCAAAAGAGTCTCTCCCTGGATAACTCCTGCTCCTCTAGGCACAAGGTAGATGCCTGGTCTGGGGTATGTGGATTTGAGTGGGGAGGGCTCATGTTTGAGTGCAGGGCAGTGACCGGTTTCATGAGGAATTAAAAGCTGCAGCTGAATTTGAAGGTAAGTGTATTTTCCATGTGGGTTCTTTACATATAGCATCTTCTACTCAAACCTCTGGTACCTTCAACCACAGCTGCCTTCCAGGCTGCCAGGACAGCAGTGTTCCCTTCACAGTACCCTTGACTGAGCTCCCATAATTACCTGCTTACCTGGGTCCTGACCAGCTGCCTGCGTGTTTGCTCAGCCTGCTGGTGGAGGCTTTCCTGGAGCTGCTGAGTCTTGCACTGTTCCTCTCTCAAGGTGGTTTGCAGCTGCTCAAACTGCTGCTTTGACACCATGTTGTTTATCTGGGCCTTGGCCTGCTGCAACTGCAGAGCGTGCTGGGTCTGGGCCAGGCTCAGGCTTGCTTTGGCTTCTAAAAGCTTTAACACAGACAGGTGGATAGCTGGTTACAGCTCTGAGCCAACAGTGGGACAGGCCCAGGGTGTGCTGCAGGTGATGGAGAGGTTAGGTAGCACCCTCAGCACCCTGCAGGACCATGGGAGTGGTGCTTAATGGGCAGCCTGCAAAGCAAGGCACTGAGAGCACCAAGAGCTGCAGGAGGATAAACGGAGACCCTTTTCTGAGCAGCAAGGAGCAGTAGTTGCTGGAGGACTCCTCTGGGAGGAAATCCCAGCACAAAGGGCCACAGTGGCAAGAGAAAGAGGGGGCTGCTCACCTGGGTTCTTGGATATATCCCAGGCAAGCTGGGATGTACCACATGTTCTGTACTACATGTCCTCTGCTTCCTGCCACCAGCAAAGAACAAACCTGGTACTGGGAAGCAGGTCTGGTCCCACTTTGCACTAGGGCTACCTAGGGGTGGCTGACATGGGTAAGCTGTACCTTGGAAAGCCAGTCCCTGAGCCTGTCCACAGGGTAGAATCACAGCAATCACAGGGACCACTCAGCAGCCTGCCATCAACTGAAAGACACCCACCTTCTCCTGCGAGGCCTTGAGCTGCTGTTGGAGCAGCTCCATCTCCATCCAACATGCTGCATGCTTCTGGTGGTGTTCCAGCCTTGCAGCCTCCTCTGTTCCTCGTGTCCACTCGGCTTCTGCAAGCCTCTGGCTCTGCAGTTGGACACTGCCAGGGCCACCACTGTGACCAGCCTTGTGCCCAGTGAGTTCACAGCCATGCACCTCGACATTTGGGTGGGAGATCTCCTCTTTGCTCTTCTTGCTCTGGAAAAGGTTGGAAAAAAAAAAAAAAAAAGAAATCATGCACACAGGCTTGGGGTGGGAACAGAGGCTGCTGGAGACACTTAATCTGTCCCACACTGCCCCCGCTGGGTTCCCACCCAGGGACACTGCTCCAGGGCCTTGTGGGCACTCAGGACAAGTGTCCTCATGTCCCAGCACATGTTCCTGAGAGCTCCCCTCTCCTCCACTAGCTCTAATTCAAGTTGATCTATTGGTCCCTCTCAAGAGGGGACACTCTTCAGGCAGTTCTGGTCCCTGCTGAACTTAAGGCAACAGTCTCAAACAGCAGCCTCTAACAGGCAAGGTACCTGTGGGTCCCATTTCTTTCCAGTAAACAGCACGGTTCTCCCCTTTCTCCTTGTTTACAAGGAACTCCAGAGAGCAGACGGGAGAGGCCAGGGCATCATCTGCCACTGCTCCTCACATCCTTCCTCCACTGCAGAGTGGTCCCTTGCTAAGATGTGGTGGTGGGTGGCTGCTGCTCCCCACAGCTGCCCTGTAAACACTAGGAACTCCAGGATTTGATGAGCACAAAGGCAGGACTGTGAAGCAGGCAGAGCATCTGTAAGCAGCTTTGTGCTCCTTGAACTGTTCTGTCACCTATGTGGCAGTTTAGAATTTACTCTTGCAGTGCTGCAACAGAAACCCTGCAAGCATCACTGACCTCTCAGTTCAGCAGCAAAAAGGGGAGTAAATGTGGAACCTGAGGCCTTTTACATGAGCACTCTAAAGCTGTCCAAAGAGGGCTGGGCTCACACTGCCATCTTAGGGCAAGTGGGTTAAAATGTGCTGCAAGCCCAGGGCAACAGGGCTCTGATACACCCCCTGCCCTCAGGAGGCACCTGGCTGCTTCTCCTCTTGGTCCTCTTGCTGGTTTTATTGTGATAGCAACATCGGGTAATCTCTGGTTCCCTACAGGACCCACACAAACATTTTGCAAGGTGACAGTGATTTCCACAAAGCCTTTGCCAGCCAATGAGGGCTCCCGATGCTCCTACCAGCTAAGACAGGCTGGAGAAGCACATGGAATAATCCCAGCCAAGTGCTGAGGTACCACATTGCTTCCCAGCCTTAACTCTCTCTCCAGCAACCCTCCTGGAGCAGATGCTTAATCAGTCATGGTGTACCAGTTGTGCTTACCAAGAAGTCAGGACAACTCCCTCCACCCCACTCACCTTGGTTTCCAGCTGCACCTTCAGGTCCTGCAGCTGCTCTTGGAGCTGCTCCACTGGGAGTGACATCTCTGTATGTGCAGAAGCAGGAACAAGAAGACTTGGAGAGGGGCTTTCTGGCAGAAAGGAGCCCTGTAAGGACAGGCCTACAAGACAGGACTGATAAGAACGGCTGCAGCTTCATCCAGTCAAGCCCATATAACCCCAAAAGATGGAGATTCCCCATCTATCTCACGGGTCCCAGGGCTGCATCACTCCAGAAGGTCTTATCTAATGCTCAACTTGTATCTCCCAAGCCACAGTTTGGTTGGCTACTCCTCTTTATTATACTGTGTTTCCCTAACATCCTCAACAGTGAAAATCTGCCTGTTCTCTCCTAGCTGCCTAGTCCACAGGTTACCATCACCAGCTCTTGAGTTGGGAAAGCCTCCTTCCCTCCTCCCCACCATCCAATTTCCCCTTCTCCCTTCCCATGGCTGCCCAGTACCAGAACCTGCAGCAGTACTTCAGGCACAAGCCACCCCACGCTCCCACGGAGAAGTCAATCCAGAGGGAACTTTGTTCCTGCTGAGAAGACAGAGAGGCACTGAACCCTGGGGCACGTTACCTCTTGCTGGCAGCCCTGTCTCAGCCCTGCTCTCCTGGAGCTGGAGACGCAGCCTTTGCAGCTCCCTCCGCAGCGCCCTGTTCTGGTCATACAGCACCTGAAAAGACCAAAGACTGGCCATGCTGTGGCTACAAAGCCCCCCAGGGTGTTGGAGCTGCCATCTGTACTCAGAGCCTCCTGCTCTCCGGCCCAGCACAAAGAGCAGAGGCCTCCCCCAGCCCCAGCACAGGGGGATTTTTCTTCCTTCCCAAGCAAAGGCAGACATGAGAGAATTTGGAAGCACCACAGAAGAAATGCAAGCCCAGATTACCATGACCACCACCAGAAGACACTGTAAAGCACAAAGCAACTGGCCCTGCATGCAAAAAGCACATGATTACCAGGGTTTTTTGCAGACACCTCAAAGGGCTGGGCCTCCTGAGGCCCTCCTGACCTAAACCACCATTGCTAACGTCCAACACGTAAGAAACACAGTGATCTCAGTACGGGCCCAGAGGTTTGTGTTTACATCTTCAAGATACCTCTGTGGGTAATCCAGGCTAGCCAACAAGCACTACTGTATGCACACAAAGCAACAGGAAAGCAAGTCCCACAGGCCTCTGGGAGGGAACATTTCCGGGATGCAGAAGGAATAAAGAGAAGTGAGGAGGTGCTGATCCCATGGGAAGCACAGCACGAGGCAGGTCCTGCTGGTCCCCTGGTGCCAGAGACACCCTGAGGCCAGCACATGAGTTTATCCCACCTCAGTGCCAACAGCAGCCTGCAGCAAGGAGCCCCATAGCTGAACACTGAGTTATGAACCGCCACACCAGTGCAATCAGTCAAGTCCATGTGGGTGTCTGGAGCTGGAAAACTGCTTGTTTCACCTCACACCCTCCATCCCATACTGGAAGCAACAGCAGCAGACCACTTTGAGTAGACATCAAATTACCTCCCACATGCTGCCACTCAGGAAGATGATGTGTTACAAGGGACTATGAACTACGACACTTCCAATTAAGAAATATTACTGAGAAGATGTAGACAAATGCAAACTCAGTTTGTTTCATCTCCATTCTAAATAGGAAGGGCAGGCGGCTGACAGCACTCAACAAGAGTGAAGGATAAACCCAAGTGGGTGCCTTCACAGGGGCAGATGAAGCCTGAAGGTCAAACCTTTCCATCCATCAGCATTCTTATGGACAACTCCAGGGCTGCTCAACAGGAAGAAAAATTGCGGCACCGAGCATATTCAACCCTCTGGTGCCACCTGGAGCAATGCTGGACTGCATCAGTGCTCCAGCGTGTTTGTCTTTAATTACAGATTCAAGAGGGGCTGTCTGAACTGCTGGAAGTGCACATTTCAGCCCTTGCTGGAGGGATGTGATAAGTCGCTGTCCCTACTCAGTGGTGTTCCCCAGCCACACACACCACTTGGGAACAAACAGGCAATGTAACAAGCACAGGATTTGGGAGCCAAAGCACAGAGCACTCAGCAACTCTCAACATGCAAGATACACAAGTCACTTAAAAATAAGAGAAGGGAAACAGAGGTTGTGCTCATCCCAGACAGCCCAAAGCTCTTGGAAGGAGCACATTACCCTGCAGGAAGTACAACATACAGAGCACCAATTCCTGGACCATACACACACATACCAGATACCTGGACTGGCTCACCTTGACTCTCTAGCAGAGTCCAGCAGCAAGTTTTTTAGAGGTTTGTAAAGTGGGGGCAAGGAGAAGGAAGGGAAAAACAAAAGGATAGAAGAATTTTGCTGTTAACATGCTTTCCAAATATGGAGAACAGCTTTCTCCTTGTGCTCAAGAAGAAATGCCAACAGAGCCCAGGGTGGTCTCTCCTTATCGACAGAGGTCCAGGGTTCCCAAACAAAATAGTCCATGGCTACAGTGGCAGACAGAGAGGAATTTACCATCCACCCCTACTCTCCCCTGCCAAAATCCCAGCAAGGGAAACAACCCATGGAGGGCTGCAGGAGTGAGGAGACAGGCTGCTTTACTGAGGGTACAGCTGTCTCTGGCCTCCTCTGAGCAAGACAAGAGGGATTCTCCTCTGCACCATGAACAGGGCTGCCTGCTTCCACTCCCCCAGGCCAAAGTGCCCAACAGATGTGCTGAGGAGAGCAGGACTTTCACAACAACTGCTGGAGAACTGCCCACACGTACCTGGCACTGCCGCTCGTACTCCAGGACAATCTCGGCGAAGCGTTCACTCTGGCTCAGGAACTCTGGGCTGTGGGGCTCCACCTGGCCCAGCTGCACAAGCACAGGGAAACACCTCTCATCAAGAAAGTTATCACCTCTCCAAATAAGAGAGCCGAAAGCTCTACTAAATCACTGAAGTCATGGTGCTACACCCACAGATTCAACAGAAGGGTTCGTACTGACACCTGTGGGATGAGCCAGATGCAGAAAGAGAAGGAAAAACATTTTTCTCCACATGCGAGAGACAACAACTACAGGCAGGCAACCTTTCCTGGCTAACAAGACCATAGACTCATTTCCTTCCCCGGTTTCATTTTACCAGGTGAGTTGTAGGAGTGGAAGATACCAAAACTAACCCTTTACTTCAATACTTGAGAAAAATTAAGCTTTTCTTTTTTTCTGGAAACCAAACTTCAAAGTTTTCACTTGAACACTGCAGATTTGTAAAATTTTCTAAAACTGCAAACTTTCTTCACCCTTTTTTTCCCCCAAGCTTCAAAAGGCCTAACTTAAAAGCCAACATTTCTTTTCTTTCCAGGTTGCCATCAATGTGCAGCAGAGATCACAGAGGAGAGACCATAACACCTGAGCCAAAATATGCAAGATCAATTTTTTGATGAGTTCTTGAAAAGCTTCTATTTAACTACAACAGAGAAAGGTTACCTTTTCCTTCACAATGTGGTTAAGTTCTTTCTGCAGCTCCAACACCAGTTCCTCAGAGGCTGACAGTTTCTCAGTCATCTCTCTGACCTTGTTTTGCAGCTCTGTGTTCTGCTGACAAAACAGAGATTTTGATGCAGTGGGTCCTGACATGGCAGGATGGGTTCATCAGACACAGGCCTTCATCAGGAAGCTGTGAAACAACCGGCAGCACGGCAAACACAGCAGAGCTTCCAGAAGACCCGGATTTGACAGCTCCTCGGTCCCGACAGGACAGGAGTCATTTTTCTCAGCAGCCAGAAGCGTGCCCAGATGTTATTCTACACCATCTCATGCCATTGCCAGGGGCAGCAGGAAGCTCTCATGGAGAAACGCCTTTCTTCCAGTGAGAAAACAAGAAAAGGAAAAATGGCTGCGGGTTGGGCTGGGCTCTTCGGTGAGCATTTTGCATATAAATCACACTCTCTCTGTACATTTTTGTTATTAGTATTGTTGCTGTTAGTGGTTTTTTTCTTATCTCATAGCTGTTTCCAGTAAATTGTTCTTATCTCAACCCACGATCTCTGCCTTTTGTGCCTCCAATTCTCCTCTAAAGCCACCCGAGGGACAGAAGATGGGGGAGAGGGAGTGAGCAGCAGTGTGGTTTGCAGAGTCTTGTGGGAGAACTAAATTGGGCAGTACCATTCCTAAACCACAACAGGACAGCACACTGCTGATACCACATGAGCTGGGGTTAGGCTCATCTCTCCAAAAGACAAGCATAGGAGTGGGTTTTGCAGACTAAGAGCTAGACAGCCCCACAGGCTCATCTCTACCTCTGCTTTACAAAACTATGGTTTCCATCACAGACAACAAAGACAGCAATTCCTGTGCTATCTCCAGCTGTACTTCTACACTGAACAGAACTGGGATGATCCCAGGCATGCAGACACCATCATCTCTGCTTTTGGCATGGTCCCTGGCACAATTATAGCCTTGGCCATTGAGTATCCAGGTGTTACCAAGGGCCAAACCACTCCCAACAAACAACATGGGGGTTTAATAATGTCACGGCAAGGGAACAAGCTCTGTATTTAATACAATAGTATGGATGTCACCGATGATTCTTCTGCATAAAATTCCTGTCCTTCCCAGCAAAAGCAATGCAAGCCATCCATATTTGTCACCACCTCTGCTTTGCCTCCTCTGAAGAAGTGAAGATGTTTCGCCCAGGCCAGTTTTACTTACCTTCATCACGTGGTTCAGTCTCCCTCGCAGACTGGCCTCTTTGCCCTGGAGGAACTGTGTATCAGCCTCCAGCTTTGCCTGGTGACTGACTGCTTGCTGCAAAAGCAGCTCTTTTGCTTCTATTTCTGCCTGAAAATCCCTGGGGGAAGAAAGCAACATGGTTGGGGCACCTGGAACTTGTTCTCAGATGGTCACGAGGTGCAGACACCCTCCCTCACCACGCACAAAGCAGGAGATGAGAACTCGGTTGGAAGGATGCTGAAACCATAGTGGGGGAAGGTCTTCAGGGATTTTTCTGCCACTAGCATGTTGACAAAACAAGTGGGAGATTTAACAGGGAGACTGGGATGGGAGGGAGAGGCTGTAGGCACATCTTCCCAGCCCCACCAAAAAGACCCTTCCTACTTGAGCTTGCTCTGGGTGTGCTTGAGAGCGACGTACTGCTCGTCCAGCTCCCTGCCAAGATGCAGGCAGCGTCTCTCCGCCTTCTCCAAGTCCAGCCTCGCCTTGTCCCTCTCCCTGGCAATCTTCCTCACCTGGGTCCTGCAGACAGGGAGAGCAGAGCATTAGGAGACACCTCACACACCCTAGAGAAGAGCCCTTCTCCCGGGGAGCAACACCCTCACCAGAGGCACCGCAGTTTGTATCCATAGGAGGTGCCAGCTGCATGCTGGAGCCCACTCCTGGGGACCATGAGCGTGCTGTCCAATGCTGCAGGCAGCTCTGCCAGGCTCACCTGCTCCTCCATGCTGCTACTCCACCTCTGCAAGCACAGCACAGACTGAAATCACTTCCTCTCCTAGGAGTTCCAGCAGGACTTCCGTCGTCACACCATCTGACCACCCTCCGGTCATTCAGAGATGCCCTCCCATCTCACAGATAAGCCTAGATCATATCCACCCCAAATTTTCCCCAGCCCCTCCCCAAGCCCTGCCAACCCGTCACGAACCTTGACTGCAAGCACTTCTTCCTTGGCTGCTTGCTGAAAGGCCTTGCCGCTCACTTCACCCACCACCAGCGATCAAGGCAGCACCAGAGACCTTGAGGATCTCCCCTTAGTTCTTCCAGGGCTCAGGTGACAGTGACAAGCTGAGGCTTGGCAAACCTGGTGCCTTTGCTGATGATGGAGGAGTGACGTGAGCCCACACAGCTTGGCCAGGAGGACACACCAATTCCCTGCACATCACCCTCTGACGCTGAGGAAAAAACAGCAGAGATAAGTCAGTGGGGAAAAACTTTGCAGAGAAACGCTGAAGCTTTCCACACCGAAAGGAAACTTCATAGGTCAAATCAGCATTGAAGAAACATTTTAGAAGCAAGCCCAAGCTGCCAGGAGGGAGATGTTCTGAGCTGCCCTTAAGGCAACTAAAATGAGAAGGTTTTGGTGAACGCTCAGAAGCCACAGAAAGACCAACATCGAAAGCTACAGAGTTTACAGTGACAACTGCAAGATGGGGACTTCCAGCCAACATTTTGTTTGACCCAGAAGCTAAAATTGCCTTGAGTTCAGCTTCAAAGGTAAATGAGATTCAGCCAAGCTGACCCAAAAAGTAGAAAGCTGACACAAAACTGATAACATCTCCAAAAGCACCAATTTTGTACCAGGTTTGAAAGAAGCCTTAAGTCAAAATCTTAAGTCAAAAGAACCTGAAACAACTCTTCTTTCTGTTTTGGAGCTGTTTTGCTCAAGATCCTGGATGGAGCTGTCCTGGCTGTCAGGGTAATCAGAGATTCACTTCCACCTTAGTGCATTAAAGCTGAATTACTTCGAAAGCATTTGCAAATGCCTTGCCAGTCCTTGGAATTGAAAGCACTAAGGAGAAAGAAATATTTTACATCAAACAAAAATGTGAATGAAGCTTTTTCCATGGACTAAAAGAGGACAATCTGTGTCACATGTGAGCTGCAGTGACATCAGCACTTCTGAAGTCAGTATTAGAACTGGGGTCATCTTTCCCCTCTGCTAGAATGTGCATCCCTCTCCCTCCCATAAAAAGATGAGGCTCAATAGCCCTCTGCTGTTCTGTGTAACCATCCCACACCACCTAAGCAGGGTTTGCTCCTACTCAGGCAGTTCCCAAGGGAGCCTTTCAGTCACCATGCAGTGGCTGAAGTCCACACTACACCTAAAAACTGACTGACAAGTGGAAAACTCTCCCCAAATCTCCACCTTCAGACGCCCAACTAATGCCTGTGAAATCACCCCCTTGTGAAAAGAAACACCTTGGCCTGAATTGTTCTCAGTAAAACCTATTCTTTAGCCTTTTATTTTTTGGGGGAAAATGGACAGAGAAGCCTTTCTAAGTGTGACGTCTGGACTTGTGTCTGGATTCCCTGCAGGACATTGTAAAACATCAAACACAAATTAACTGTCCTGTGTAGGGATGTGGCAATGACTTATTGTTCCCTATCCAAAGCCAATGGAAATCACCTCATGGAGCTGCTAATCAACCAGGATTCTTTTCACAAACTCACCCCATGGAGTGCTGAGTTTTGGCTACTTAAGAAACATTGATGTGCCACGGGAAATGTGGTTGTGTGGCTGAACAAGCCACACTGCAACTCCTCAAAGCTCTTCCACCTCCATACTTTTCCAGTTTAGTCAATAAATCTGTGAGTTCCCAAGAAACGAGCCCGAGAGAAACTCACCAGCTGCAGGAATCTGAAGCACCCAAACTGCTTCTTAAATCCCATCTCTTCTACAGTGCAAATGGAACACAGTTTAAAAACTCTCTTTGAGAAGGATAGTGCAGTATGCCCATATCCAAACCCTCTGCCCCTCGAAAGAACCCAGAGATCGGCTCTGTGAAAACTGGATCCCAGCTACTTGAGTAACATGGACAGAGCAGTGGAGAAGGCACTGGCTGAGGAAAGGCAGTGAGAAGCTCGGATCCTTCTCTGGCCTCTGTTGAGAACCTCTACATCTCATTCCATTGTCTTGTCCCACCTCAGGCTGTAAAATCAACCCTCTCTTGACACCCCTGGGCTGGCAGAGGCAGCGACACGAGGCTGCCAGCCAGCACATTTCTCCTTGCTCCAAGCAAACTGCCTGGGGTGTTCCTGGGGCTGGGCACTTGGCTTCCACACGGGCACGGCATGCTGGATATCCCAAGCACGGAGCTTCAGGGTGAGACACACACCACATGGGGAAACCAAATAGGGGTGACAACCCCTATTCCATCCCGCATTCCAAGGTGAAGAACACAAACAGCCTGTGCCCACCTTCCCGTCCAGTCCCCTGGATGCTTTTCCTGGGGCATATCAGGAAGAGAGCGGCCAGCAGGTCGAGGGAGGTGATCCCGCTCCTCTACTCGGCCCTGGTGAGGATCACCTGGAGAGCTGTGTCCAGTTCTGGGCTCCTCAGAACAAGAGACACTTTGCTCCTGGAGTGGGTCTAGCAGAGGGCAACAAAGAGGATTAGGGGACTGGAGAACCTCAGTTCTGAGGAAAGGCTGAGGGACCTGGGCCTGCCTAATCCAGAGAAGACTGAGAGGGGACCTCGTCAATGCACGGAAATATCTAGATGGCAGGCGTCAAGAGGATGGTACCAGAGTCCTTTCAGTGGTGCCCTGCAATGGGACGAGGAGCAATGGCCATAAACTAAAACACAAGAAGTTCCACCTGAACACAAGGAACAATTTGTTTACACTCGTGGCGGCGGAGCACTGAAACAGGCAGCCCAGGGAGGCCTGGGGAGTTTCCCCCTCTCTGGAGACATTCCAAACCCACCTGGAGGCGTTCCCGGGTCGTCCGCTCCAGAGCTCCCTTCCTTCCTTCCAGCCCTGGCGATCCCGTCCCTCCCTCAGGGCGCCCTCCCGCCCCGCGCACGCGCACGCGCACGGGCACGGGCCGCTCCCTCCCCTCTGCCCGCCCCCGCGCAGGCGCGCGGCGGCGGTGCGTGTGCGCGCGGCGGCGGTGCGTGTTGCGCGCGCGGGGCTCGGGGCGGCCATGGCGGGCTCGGCGGGCTCGGCGGGCTCGGCCAGGAAGCGCCTCATGAAGGAGGAGGACATGACCAAGGTGGAGTTCGAGACCAGCGAGGAGGTGGACGTGACGCCCACCTTCGACACCATGGGCCTGCGCGAGGACCTGCTGCGCGGCATCTACGCCTACGGTCAGGGCTGGCGGGGAGGGGAGAAGGGAGGAGGGGGAGGAGGGCGAGAAGAGGGAAGGGGGAAGGGAAAAGAGGGAATGGGGAATGGGGACCGGGAATGGCGGGGCCGCGGGCCGGGCGCGCCCGGATGTGGGCCGCGCGCCTGCGCCCTGCAGGGCCCGGGCCGTGCCGGTGTCCCGGGGACCCGGCCCTGACGGGCGCGCTTCCCCCGCAGGGTTCGAGAAGCCGTCGGCCATCCAGCAGCGAGCCATCAAGCAGATCATCAAGGGCAGGGACGTGATCGCCCAGTAAGTGGGGGGCCCCGGGGCGGCGGGAGCGGGTGCCCCGTGGGGGTTGTGGGCCCAGGGTCTGGGGAGTGAGCTGGTGGTGCTGGGGGCGCTGGAACGGATTGCCCAGAGAAGCTGTGAGTGCCTCATCCCTGGGAACGTGGAAGGCCAGGCTGGATGGGGCCCACAGAAACCTGGTCTGGTGTGTGGCGCCACGGCAGGGTTTGGAACGACGTGATTTTTAAGATCCCTTCCAACGCAAGCCATTGTGTGGTTTTGTGATGTGACGGGCAGTACGGGGTGAAACTGGCCATCGTGCACGTGGACTGTGATCCAACAGTTATTGATTTCAAAGCTGGTTAGGTTTAGTCACTGGAAAAAAAACAAAAGTGTGTTTTAGAGACAAAAAAGGATATGCATGCCACTCCAAAAAATCCTTTCTAGGTCACTAGTGAGAGTCTATTAGCCTTCAAAATTGTATTGACTTATCTGCTGTTTACTTGGAAAGAAAAAAAAAGTATATGTATGAGAGACTGCGGAAAGTCAAAATGCTGGTCTGATAAGGAGTGGGCATCCCAGAGCTGGGGACCCTGCAATGGAGTGTTCTGTCCCTGGTATTGCAGATCTCAAAGCTGCTCGACAGCAGGTCATGCTGTGATCACAACAAGCCTTTGTCAAATACAGTGTTGCCACTGTCGAGTTGTTTGCAGTGGAGGAGTGGCAAAGAGCCGAGGGATGGAATATGTCTAAGTTGCCTGTGTTGTCTGTCCAGATATCCAGAGTGTTCATCAAACATCTGTTTCTCAGGTCACAGTCAGGAACAGGGAAGACAGCAACATTCTCCATTTCTGTTCTGCAGTGCCTGGACATACAGGTAATTTTACAGTACATGCTAAAAATTATTTTTTCATAAATCAATAGTCTTTATCATAAAAACCTTTTTTTTTTTTTTTTTTGAGTAAATAAATGAAGCCTTACATTGAAATCTTCTAATTATGGGCAGTTAATCTCAGACAAAATTCTGATTCTACTCTGTAACAGTTTAACTGTTAAAACCAGTCTGGCAAAATAAATTCAGAGAAAGTCTTGTAATTACGAAGTTGGGTTTAACAGATTATTTCACCTATTAGAGGGCTAACTTAATCTCTCCCTAAGCAGAATTGTCTTCACACAGTCCTGTAGCATAATCAATCTGTCTGAACAGTTGCCACACGTTGCACAGAATCAAACCCAGATTTTTGACTGAGAAATGTGTGCTTTTGTTCTGGTTAGAGGTATCATGTCCGTGCAACAGTCTTTAAGTATTAACTTGAATGTGCAGACGCTATTGAATAAAACGATGGTTATCTGTGGGCTGGTTAAAGCTTGGATTGTAATTCATCTGTCACTGCCTGGGGACGTAAAAATGAAGGTTGCATGTTCTGAATGCAAAGATCAGCTTTTGCCTCGTTTCTGTAAAGTGCTCATAATATTTTTGAAAGTTGACACTTTAAAACGTTGTCTTGGAATCCTTGTGCAATGGAAGGTGTTTATCTGAACCAAATGTACAAAACTGAAGCGGTTTAAATTTGTTTCTATTTTGCAAGGAAAGTACACGCTTTTTTGGTGAGAAATGGGGTTGGAATGAAAAATTAGTTCTTAAAGAACTGCTTAAGTTCTTTCTTGTCAAAAGTAACTTAAAAGAGGCTAATGCTGCTAATTTCAAATAATGCTCTATTTGAAAGCTGCCCTCTGGGCATACTGGCCCTTAATTCAGCTGTGACATTTCAGAGTGCTGGGGGACCCATAATCTTTTGCGCTTGGCTCTGTGGCCTGTGATTAACTTCCGTGTCATCATTTGTTTTAATCAGGTTCGTGAGACCCAGGCACTGATCTTGGCACCCACTCGAGAGCTAGCTGTGCAGATTCAGAAGGTAAGAGCATTTAAATCCCTGTCTGTAAAGCACTGACAAGGCCTGGGGCCAGAGCTCTGGTGTTCCCCCAGCAGAGCTCAGAGCACAGCTTCCACTGTTTCTTTCTGTTCCTGAAAGATATAAGAAATTTTGATCTGAGCTGTTTTGCTCATCTGCATTATATCCATTACTGCTTGCATGACCATGTTGGTTGGCAGTTGTACACAGTCCTAACTGAATTTTTAAGGACAGCACTTCTAAAGCAGCTGTGATCCCTGGGGAACTGGGTTCCCAGTGTTTGAAGACCTGCTGTTGTTGAGGTTTGGGTAACAGACACACAGAAAATCCCTCCGACTCCTTGTGCTTACTTCTCTTTAAAAAACCCACATGGCTGTGGTTTGGCTGTGCAGACCTGCACCTCTTTACAAATGCAAACTTAAAAAGAGCTCAGGTAATTAAACCATTGCTTTGTATCATAACACAGGGGCTTCTTGCTCTGGGGGACTACATGAATGTCCAGTGTCACGCCTGCATTGGAGGGACCAACGTGGGGGAAGACATCCGAAAACTGGATTATGGGCAGCACGTTGTTGCTGGCACTCCAGGCCGTGTGTTTGGTGAGGAAATGTGGGAGGCTACATCACCTCCAGCTTCAGAGCTGAGCTGAGCCATAGGAACTTCCTTAGCTCACATGTGCTTTGATTTTAAATAGCGTGGAAATTACATTTATCGTGACATTGTTAATGTAGTATTATCATGAAACTGGAACAAGGTAACAGCTTGCTGTAGTAACACTTGGAAAAGGCTAGAGAGAAATCAGTGGGGAGGATGGTATCTTCATTTTCTCTTTTTATGTTTTGTTTTTCATTGTTGAAGTGTTTCTTTATATGGCGGCATAGGAAAAAAGAATATTTTTTAAGGAGACAATACTACAATCCCAGAAAATACTTCAGTATCTTCAAGGGGATAGGAGCCGGGTCTACTTGAATGCCAAAGTTAGTCCACATATTCTGTGTACTGGTGGTTGCTCCCTCTTTGTTAAGTCAGGTACGCTTGCAGCTGGTTTCATTGCATAAAGATTTTAAAATTTACTGTTCGTGGCAGTTACCACAGTGGCAGTGTTGGCCTTCAAGCTCACATCTCCCGGGTCTCTGAGAAGCAGACAGCCCTGGCTTACACAGGCACCTGTCACTGGGAGAACACAGAGCTAGTCCCCACAGGGGAAAAAAAAAAAAGGCAGGGGAAGAGCCTGTCTCTGCTGCACTAAAATGCCCTGACAGTGGCTGAGAGCAGTGTAGGCTCACCTGCTTTCAGAGCCTTTTCCCCTTACAAAGTGAAATCTTACAGATATGATTCGTCGTCGAAGTTTAAGAACTCGTGCCATCAAAATGCTGGTTTTGGATGAAGCAGATGAAATGCTTAATAAAGGTAAAACATTTGTCTTCCTTTTACTTGCCTTCTCTTCACCTCTTTGAGATTCCAGGGGGTCCCAGCTGACAGGCCCACTTATAAAAATTGCTTTTTCCAAAGTTAGATGATTATAGTTAATTGTAGGTTGTAATGAGTTAAACTACATAATGTGCCTTGTCTGATGATACTGATTAATGCATCAATGTTCATCTCATAGCATAGCCCCAGTACTGAATCCCAGATCAAATTGTGAAAGAGGAGAATATTTGGGAAGAAGATGTGCTAAACTATTCTGTGTGACTTGACTTGCACTGCAGGCTTTAAGGAGCAGATTTATGATGTGTACAGATACCTGCCTCCAGCTACACAGGTGGTTCTGATCAGTGCCACTTTGCCTCATGAAATTCTGGAAATGACCAACAAATTCATGACAGACCCCATTCGCATCTTGGTGAAACGGTGAGTTTCCTTGGAAAGAACAGGAATTCTTTGAGTTGGTGCAGCCCTGGGCATTTCACAGTATTGACTGATTTTAATATAGAGAGTCTCTCACCATTGCCTGAGTGTTTGCAGACATGCTCATGTCTTGTTTTCCAGCAGAGGTTGGCTTATCACTCTGATTTTATCCTTGTCCAGTTTTGTGTGCTGCTGCTCAGCCTGGCTTGCCCCTTTATCCTCCCCATGGATAGCAGTCTCTTCTTGTGGAAATCCATCTTTCACACTTACCCAATTCCTGTGCTCCCCCAGAGGATTTTTGTAGGCCCCCTTCATCAGTTTCCTGTTTTATAGCAGGCCACAAAAACGTTTAGCTGACTGATCCCAGATGTTCTTGGCATGGTTTACATCTGGTGGTGTCACAGGTCCAGCACTGGAACTCAGGAGGACTCAGAGGAGTAAGTGTAGGCAGCCTGACAGGAGGAGTCTCCCTGTTGCCTGACGTCTTCTACTGCCCCACTTAGTACATTCAAGCTTCTTGAGACTTCCTTCAGTCTCTGTTGTCAAGCACCTTGAATGTAGAACAATGAGAACAGGAATTCAAGCTGTATGTCTAGAGCAGAGCAGTTCTAGCTCTCTTGAATGGGTCACATTTAAGGTCCTTCTTAGAGCAGAGTTCTGCAAGGACTTCC